TGTTAATGGCTTATAGAATTTCTCCTTTAAGACACTTGACTCTCCTGAGTGATTTTATCAGATGAAGCTTTTAGTGAGTGATGCTGCCTTGATATTATTAACAGTTTTATGAGGTTCTGGCCATTTCCGAGTGGCTGCCGGCTTACTATTCCAGTGTCCCTTGCTTAGGGGTGTGCTGGTATTTTTGTTCTACTCTTTATAATTGTTGACAAGAAATCTAGCAAGGACTAGACTTGAAGCAGCTGTTCATTAGCTCAGGAAGGAACCTGACTGCATTTGAGCTAGGCTTGCTAGACCTAAGTCTTGGAATTTTCAATTATGTTTCTGATAACGTTGTAATAAAATGAGAACAGTGCAGCCAGATCCCCAACCCAACCTATGCTCATTTTGAACAGCTTAGGGTGCAAAAGCCTCGAAGCTGCCAAACTGTTGTAGAACTGAATTCCTGGCGCTGTGGCCTTTGCAGACAGCAGCCACCGCCCTGAAAAAAAACACCTTCTCTGATAGTGACGGAGGGTAATTCCGTGCTAATAAAGTGGCTTTCACCTCATAAGGTGGAAGTGGTGCCTTGGTGCCCCCTTGGTCGCTTTAGGCGGTGTGGGGAGCTGGAGGGTCCCGGCAGGAGAGGCGTTTGTGACTTTCCCAAGGCAAACGTTCCCCTTGTAGTAGAAGAAACCAGTATTTATGGTCTTGTTACATACAAAGCAGCAGCTACTTCCAAATCGGAGTTAGAGCTTCTAGGTCAAGGGAGCAGGTGGAAAGGAGGGTCCGGAGCAGATGCCTTGTCCTGGCGTGGTGCTGGACCCGCTGTGCCCAGTGAGCCCCTGATTAGAGATTGGAAGGGGAAACTTGTTTTGCCAAACTGGTGGTTTCTAAGAATTGTCTCTTCCTGTGCAAGCAGCATGCAGAACTCTTCAAGATTTAGCAGAATATATGTTTTAAGAAACACAGAATTAGGATATCTGCTGTTGGTGACTCTGGTCCTCGTTGCAGGCACCGTGCACCACCTCTTAGATCACCCCCTTGAAGGGAGTTTGGGTCCTGCCCGCTGGAGCGGCCCTTCCCTGGGAAGCGCTTCCCGGTGCTCGGAGCGGTGCCGCTGCGCTCGCTGTGCCCCTCTCCTTCCTGCTCGCCCCGTCGCTTAGCCTTGCTTCCCCTCTCCGCTCTGTGTGTTTTGTACGTGTATTTTAGGAGCGAGCCGTCATAATCCTCCTTGGGCTTTTTCCGGGCTGATTTATCTCCTCGCAGGCTGTCGCTGACCCAGCTCTGCTTCATCTCGGCACTCTGGGTGTGCTGGTTTCTGTGCCACAGGCTGTGGGCGGCTGCAGCTTTGATGCTCATCTCTCCCCTGTCCTGTTTTCTTCCAGTTCTTTGTCCTTGACCCATTGGGTCTTTCCGAACAAGCTGTAGCAGGCAAAGCTTCAGGCATGGCTGTTTTCCAGCAGGAAACGGAATAATGTTGCAGGGTCTACATAGCATCATCTCGGTTCTCTGTTGTTCTTCAGCTCTCCTCCACTGGCATATTCCTCCGTTTTAAAATCTTTTATTTGCAGATCTCTAGTGATGAATGAGCATCTGGCTTGTAACCCCCTTGCCTGCGTCCCCTGTGCTGCCAAGGGCCACATGGGGCAGCTGGACATTGCATCCCTAGGAAGTAGAGCCCAACTCCTTCCCTGTATCAGCTGCTCCACAGGTTTCTTGGTGCCCTCCTCACTGCACTACAGGTTCAGGGGTGTTTGGTGCCTGGAGCTGCTATAGCAGAGCTTGGGTGCCCTTAGAGATGCTGATCCCTCCTCTGTACATCTAGCAGTGGCGTTTGCAGAGGGCACTTCAGTTTCTAAAACACCGAGTCGTTGTCCTGTTTCTGCACAGTTGTTTGCCAAAAACTGCGTAGCAGAAATTAAATATATAAAATGCATGCATATATCTACAGGAATGTATATTTATATATGCATGTGTATTACATAAGGGAAAATTTTAGCTATATGATGCTTTAACAGTACTTGTCTCGTATGAGAAAATGCAGAGCAAAAGCTGCTTCTGCTTTAAAAGCTGTTTCATAATCTCTGGGGTGGGATTAGGAATTCAATGAGTGAAGCTTTCCCGTGTCAAATGAAGAGCATCTTGGCCTGAGCACTGACTGTTTTAGCTCTTTCATTCAGCAGCAGCTGACAGGTAGTAGCACATTTCTGTGATGTGCCCCCCACGTTACCTCCTGGAGAGTCTGAGGAGCAGCAGACATCTTTTCCTTCAGCTGCTTCTATCACCAGCCTCAGCAATGCACAAATATTAGGGACTTTTGTTGTGCTGTCTGCTCACACTTCCTTCTCTAGGCGGAATATTCCGGAGATGTCATTGTTTGTTCTCTCTGCAGTCGCGTTCAAAGCCGTAGTGCTTTGCTGATGCTTAGGAGGCTTGTCTTGCAATTCAGAAATTTCATTCCTACGTATGTATGAAAATACTCGAACAACTTGGCGTGGTCTCTGTGTTGAAGCAGATGAGATCTCCCAAAACCTAAGGACAGCATCGTTTCATTTTTCAGAAGAGGAAAACTAGGTTGCACATACCTAGTGATTCCTGAAAGATCAGCCCTTAGGGCGTTTGTCTCCATCATGAGGGTATTTGTTCTTTGAAATAACTGAAAAACGCTCTGTAGAGGCAAACCCCCGCCGTGTGGTGGAGCCTCCCGCCCCTGGGTTTTGCTGGTTGGCCCCAGCTGGGCAGCAGAGCGGCGGGGACGGTGGGTCCCTGGGCTGAAGGGCCGTAAGGAATGGGCGCTGCCCGAGCTGTGGGGTCACCCCCTCCTATCTGCTGTCCTTGGCCTCCCCTCTTGCACCCATGTCAGGGCTTGAGGCATCTCTTGCTCTCCTAAGCCCAGCGGGTCCCTGTCCTGGGCCCAGGAGTGACTGAGATGTTCACGGGTCCCCGTTACGCAGTGGGGACAGCGGTGTCGCTGTCGCAGGTGGCGTTTGCTGTTGGCTGCAGGATCTGCTCCAGTGCCTGGATAGAGCTGAGCCTTGAGCTGCCAGAATCAGCTTGTGCTTGAGAACCTGACGCTTTCCTAGAAACACTCCTGGGGATTTTGCTTCCTCTGCTGAGCTGGGCCCCAGAGTGCAGGAGCTTGGAGCGCCCCTGGGCGCTGCTCTCCCCAGGCCTGTGGCTCGTGTTACAGCCCTGGGTTACAGCTTTTATGCCGGAAAACTGACTTGGGAGCAGCCCCTGCGTGTGTCCTCACAGCCCGTATCCCGCGGGCAGTGGTGCTGGGGGTGTGTTGGAGAGTGGAGCTACGAGGAGATGATCCCTTTGCTCGTGTTGCCTCGGGTTCTCTAGCACTGCGTGTTCCTCCGGCTCTGGCTGCTTTCTACCTCAAATAGCATCTTTTACATAACTACGTTTGCCCAGATTGTCCCTTACGCTCCCAAAAACCTGCTTGCCTTTGAAGGACAAGCTGCTGTGGCTCGACTCTATTCCTTTTGAACCACTGCTGTAAAATGCTGATGTATAGACGCATTAAAAACTGGCTTGGGGCTGCATGGGGGCGTTTATAGAGAGCTGGGAGCGAAGTGTGGGTTACAGAGCCGCCCTGAAGCCTTGGGTATTGTGAAGATACGGCGGGGATGTTGTGAGGGAGACGCCCAGCCGCGGGCTGGCCTGCACGGCCTGGCCTGCACGGCCCGTGCTGCCGCTGCGGCGACGCAACCACGTCGTGTTCGGCATGTCGTGCTGCATGTGTCGAGGAGCCGAGGACGTTCTCGGCACGCGGGGAGCTCGCAGCGGGCAGATACATCCCTGTGCGGGTCTGGGCACGCATCCCCGCGGGTCTCGGCACATCCCTGCATTCACAGCTCCGCTCGCACGCTGCCAGCAGGAACGTGGCATGGCCTTTGCCAGGAGCTCGCGTTACGTGCAGGATGCGCTTTGGCAGCGAGGATTAAAAACGCATTTGAGTCCTGGGGCTGTAAAAACCTTTAATCCGCGGGTCCAGGTACCGAATTTTCTCCAGAAATATCCTATCTAATGCGTTTAGCAGGGGTGCTCTTCCAGAAACAGTCCCGTCATGAGCAAAAGGAGTGCTAAGGTGGCAAATATGTTTCTTCTACTTGTATTACATGCCGAACGACAGTAAACCTGAAGAGGCAGGTTGGACTTCACTGAGCTTTGGGAAAATATGTGACTTTTTGTGATAAAAGTATTTAATTCTGTTTTTACACTTCTGATTCAGAGAGCTGAAACTGTTTCAAGGCTGCTAAACAGCGTCCTTTCCTGTTGTCAGATTGTGAAGGACAATTAACTCAATCATTTAATAAAATTATCTGCTAGTCTTTTTCTAAATAGCAAGTTTTTTTAGGAAAAAAATACATTAGTGCATAAAAAGCTGTAGAGTGCACTTGCTTAAACCTATGAAGAAATGGATTTTCTCTGATTCTTTTCTCAAATGGCTTGAAGGCGTAGCGTTCAAAGGATTGAACAGGATGGAAATCATGAGAAATCATCTAGATATGTGCATGAGAATGAGGGCTTTTCCTCCTCTTGTTGCTGGCATTTAGGGGTGTCTCGAGAAAATACATTTTGAGTTAATTTTTAGAAACTATCTGTCAATGTTGACCTATTGCCATGGGGAGAGGGGCAGCCTGGGCTGAGTGTTCGTGTTTGGTTATTGCTGCTGGCAGCAGAGGAGCAGCTGGGTATGGGATCCATTGCCAAGGTAATATCAACTGCCTTGCACTTTTTTTCCGCAGTTATTTTTTAGGTATTTTTCCCACTCTGGACTTACGAAATGCAGAGATTTTTGGATATAAACATCTGTGACCGTTAGAAGCATCTGGAGAAACGGTGAAGGGAGACAGGAGCTTGTCAGTGATGGTGAATTATGCCCTGAGAGTGTATCAGCACTGATGAGACCTGTGCTGTTTTATGGATTAAAAGAAGCCCTGAGACTTGGAGACAAAAGGAAAAATCAAGTTTTATTTAATAATTCCTCCCCTCTCTTTCTCTCCTAGTCTATGCAAGCGGCAAGATGTCCCACAGATGAACTGTCGTTGACCAACTGTGCTGTGGTGAATGAGAAGGACTTCCAGTCTGGGCAGTGAGTATCTGCGGTTGCTCTTCCAGCTTTTAACTAAAAAGAATTAATTGTCTTCAAAATTTGGGTGGAAGTGAGATGAATTTCTGACTTGGAGAGCACAGCACGGTATATGTTATTGTATACTGCATGCAGTAGGTTAATTAACAAAATTCCTGTAGTTCTACATGTTTAGAGGCTTAAAATATTATGTGTACCTCTCTAAAATATGTATTAGATATACTCTAAAATGATATATTTTCTTTTTTTTTTTTCCTTTTGAAGTCTTTCTGGCTTAGGACCTGGAGTTGCTTAACTAAGTGTAATAATTCTTTGAGTTATAGCAACCGTATGAAAGACATGGGATCCTACTAAACTAAAGGGATAGTTTCAAATAGATTTTAAAAATGTGACCGTGTTACTAGGACCAGCTTCTCTCTTCTCCATTGTATTGGAGTACTGTGTCGGGTCAGTGACCCCTCCATCTGGTTTTCCTGCCCAAGTCCAACAGGGGAACAATCAAAAAGTGGGAGCAACAATTCGGATACATTAATTATGATTCTCGGTGACTAACAGTGGCTGATTCTGGGTTTTATTTTTGTTAGGATAGAGGACACATTATTTTTTCAGCCAAGCCTACACAGAAGCACATTTTATTTTAAAACAGGAAAAAAAACCCACCAAATGGATTGTTTCCTTGCTTTGCTGCAGTAGTAGGGTGGCTCTATAAAACCTTGCAGTATGCAGACTGTCGACTGAAATAATTGGTTTCAACAGAATTTCACATTCCACAGAAAGCTGAAAATGGGTTTGAATGGTGGCTGCAGGGCCTCGGTCACCGCGTGGGTTTTGCTGAGGCTGGAGAGCAGCCTCATCCTGGCTGGATGGGGAGGAGGCAGCGGGGGTGCCTGGGGACTTGCCTCCCTTCGTGCTCCCGCTGCGACTGGAGAGCTCCTGCGCTGTCCCGTCCGCCGGCAGAACTCGAGTTTCACAGCCCCGTCTTCAGGGAAGAAAAAAGAAAACCAGCAGAAATTTTACAGCCGGGAGGAGGCAGAAGTGTCTGCCTGGCAGAACGAGTGTTATGGTCTCTTTGTTCCTCGCCCCGTTAATGACAGATTTTATCAGAGTTATTGGTGCTTCTGAAAAGGATCCAAACCGAATGTTTTGCCTAAAACCATTAGCACGTGTTTCCTACAGATATTAATTGTCTGAAATACAAATGCCCCAAAGGGCCCCAGCTTCTGGACCTGCAGCAACCAACCTCTTTCCCTTCACTCTGGGTGCCAACCTCTCCCGCTGCCGTTACGGAGGGTGCAGGAGGCGATCCCACCACCCTCCCTGTTGAGCAGGCTGGCCCTGCCTCTGCCTGCACTCATCCTCCCGAGAGCTTTGCCTATTTCTAGAAATTGGGGCTTCCTGAGAAAGCAGCATATGTTTGGTGGGGAACAGATGCTATAAATTGCTTTGCAAATTATAAGCCTGGAGTGCAGAGAAATATCTCGATATTCAGCCACTCCTGAAAGCCGTCGTCATTCTGCTGCATTGCAGATACACTGAGCAAGACCGTGCTGCGATCTGCTGCAGTAAGTTGCAGTCAGCTGTTTTAGTTCCTGCTACCTTAGCCAGGCCTGGCTGCACAGAAGGTTTTTTGGAGCAGCTCCACAGTGGATGGTGCTTTCATGCTCCTGTTGGATGCTCCTTGCCCTGGAGCTGGGAGTTTAACCTTGCATCGGGGAGGCGGCTGATCCCCGAGATGCTGCTGCACATCTTGTCGTGCTTCATGGTTTTTGTTTTGCATCTTGTAAACTGGATGAGTGTGAGTCATAGTCTTGTGATGCCTGAGGTCGCAGGATGTAGTGCATTATTGTAGACACAGTGTTGGTCATTTAAGGGTTAAGATCTTCAGTTCCTGTGCATATTTCTACTCTGAGAGCTTAAAATAATTTGGAAGGAGAAACGTGCTGAAAGCAGACAGAGTGCAGGGAACAGGAGTCTGGTAGGAAAACAGGGTAAGGTATCTGAGCAGCAATCTATCATCTGATAAATGGGAACTGGCGGATAATTCCTGTCTTTTAGATGAATATCTGCCTGTATTACCCAAATGCTGCTGGGACCTTTACACAGAGGTGTGAGGTATCTTCTCCCTTACAAAATGCCTTCGCTAACATAAAAACCAAGAGCTCCCCGTTAGCTCTTACCCCTTCAGCTGGTTTGCTCAACCTGCTCAGCAGAATTAAGCAGCCAAGGGTGTCCTGAGCCTGGCCTGAGGCTATTCTTAAAAATTGGCCTCACGCTTCGTTTTGGTGTTGATAGTTTTCGGCAAGGCTTTACACATGAATTAGTAGATCAGCAGTTTTATCCTTCAGGGCTCCTGGGATATATCTGGCCCTGGTGACTCATTGCTCTTCTTATTAATTTATAAGCAGAAGCTAGTGTTAATGAGAGTGAGACTTGCCCATGTGTCTCCATGAACTCATCAAGCTCCTTCCTGGTGAACATTGGTGCGATGTTAATTTTTCAATTCAATTTTCCTCCCTTCAATCGCATTAATTTTGGACATTTTTCTTAATACTTTGGTTGCAGCCTTTGGGATGCTGCTGGTTCCTGCTGTCTTTGAGAGAGGTTTTTTGCTGCCGGTTATTTATTTATTTATTTGCTTATTTACATGCCTTTTGCAGATTTTTCTCCAGTGGCCTGTCGGGATTCGGCCTTTTCTGTTCTTGTTTAGCTATAGATCCCTTTCAGAATGCTGATTTTTCTTTTTTTTCTCTTCTTCTCACATCCCTTAGCCTACTGCTGGGCTGTGTTATCTTTCTGGCCTTCTGGAAATACTCTGATGGATGGTGCTCTCCAGTATAATACTGCTGATTTCTGTGCCAAATCTCTGTGGATAACGTTGTTCCTTTTATAATAGTTTTTTCCCAGGCACTGTCATTTTCCAGCATGTTGCTGCTTTGGGATGAGCCCAGCGGTAGCGGAGCTCTCTGCTTCCTGCAGGGGTGCAGCGTTATGTAAGCGACACTCGCTGTTATGCTTTGAGCTGCATTCAAGGTGCTGTTCAGGACCCACCCCAGTCTAAGGGGATTTTAATGTTGAATCTTTTGCGTCTTATGAGCAGCTTTTAGTAGAGTGGTGATTTCATTGGGCATTTTTATCTGTGAGCTATTCCTGTAGCACAGTCAGAACTTGCATAGTGCTTACAGACATGTTTGCCTTATACTCTGCAGTTTAATATCTTGTTCTTGAATTAACTGTGTGTTAATGTGATTTTAAACCTATGCTGTAATCCTTCAGATTCAAGTTGCTGATCCCAGACAGCCTCTGTGTGTTATCTAGTAGTACATTTAAAATGAAATAGTCCTTAGAGCAACATTGTGATTTGGGCGGGTCCAGTCCTTTGCCTCCTGAAAAGGTTAAGGGCATTTTAAGTTCCTGTGCTCTCCAGAGGTGCCCTAAGCTCAAAAAGGTGGGATTTCAGGTGTGCCTCTGTCTCTGGCCTTTCCTTCTGGTTAGAGGCAGAGGGTATATCCTGAACATACAGGTTTTGGGGGCTGTTTTTGCGGAGTCGCAGAATAGCTGAGTTTGGAAGTGACCTGTAGGGACTGAGTCCACCTGCCTGCTCAGGGCACTGCCATTTAGAGCAGCTCGCTCAGCACTGTGGCCAGGCAGGTTTGAGCACTCTGATGGTGCTTGAACACTTCAACACAAAAAAAAAGAAAAAGACAAACAGTATTTTTTTATGTTCACGTGGAAGTTCCTGCGTGTGGGCGATTTGTGCCCATGACCTCTTCTCCTGTTACTGGATACCACTCCGAAGAGTCGCGCTCTGTCTTTATTCCCCTTTTAGATCAGGCTTATACACCCTGGTGGGATCTCTGTGGACCTCGTTTGCTCCAGGTTAAGCAGTCTCCCCTCTCTCTGACACTCCCCATATGAGAGAAGCTTCAGTCCCTTCATCAGCTTTGTGGTCTCTGCTGGCGTCGTGCCAGGATGTCCGTGTTTTCCTGCACGGGGCAGCCCAGTACTGCGGATGTGGCCTCACCGGTGCCAAGCAGAGGGCAACGTTACCTCGCTCGAGCTGCTGGCAACGCTCCTCCGAATGTGGCCACGTACACCTCTGGTCATCTTTGCCACAAGGACACGTCACTGGCTCATGTTGAACTTGGTGTCCTCAGGGCCACCCAGGCCTTTTCCTACAAGGCTGCTTTTATGCCTTTCCTGCTGAAGGACTTAGTGAAGTTCAGGTGAGGTTTCCAGGTGAAGGACTTGGCCTTTAACTTTGAACTTTATGAGGTTCCTGTCTGCTCTTCAGCCTTTTGAGGTCCTTCTGAAAGGCAGCACAATCGTTGGTGCATCAGCTGCTCCTCCGAGCTGAGTGTTGTCTCGGACTTGCTGAGGATACATTTAGTCCCACCATCCAGATCGTTTTAGAAGAGGCTGAGCAGTGCTGGCCCTAGTATGGACACCTGGGCCACAGTACTGCTGTCTGGCCTCCAGCTGGACTTTGTGCTATAGCCGCTGCCCTCTGCTCATCCATTAGCTACACCCTTCACCACATCCATCAGAATGGACAGATGTGATTTCACTGCTCCTGATCTCCTCCTTGTCCTAACAAATGTGGAAATGGCTTCCAGGGTCATTTGTTCCATCACATTCCTGGGGAATGCCAGTGAGGCTGAGCAACCTGTAGTTTCTGGATCTTCTTCTTACCCTTCTTGAAGATAGGAATGACATTTGCTTTCTTCCAATCCTCAGGGACCTCCTCTGATCACCAGGAAGTTTTCATTAGATGCTTTGCTTTCCTCATTCATATGTATAGGGAGCCAGACCGCCTAGGATAGGTCTCTGGATTTGCCTCTGGAGTAGGAGATGGAAAAGGAGGGCTGCACATCCCTATGTTTGGAGAACTGTAAGCACCTAACAGATGATATAAGGCCAGAACAAAGAATCAGATCTCTTGCCCACCTGCAAGACAGGGTGTATGTCTGTGGGTGAGGTGTTTAAGATGCTTTCCTCCCTTGCTTTCCTGTGTGTTTGGGCTAAAGTGAGCAAGTCATGTCTAGTCTTTCTGGTTATGCCAGCCACGCGTTTCCTCTAGTCTCAAAGGGCCATATGTTCTTTCCGACCGTGTTGTTGAAAATACTAAATCTACACAGTGTGAGTGCATATTCATGCAGCAGATTGACTTTGGGATGCTGCTGGATTGAAGGTCATCTGCAAGTGAAGATATCCTGAGCAGATGTGTGTGCACGGCATTCCCGCTAGGACGGGAGCACGACCGGGCGTGTGGGCTGCCACTGTTGGATCTGTTTGCCTGACCCTGCTTCGCACTGGGGAGCAGAGTTGGTGCGAGAGGTGTCACAGGTCAGTGTGAACCACAGGAGTCGGTGGCCACATAGATCGCAGAACCTCGGATTTGCCTCTGGAGCAGGAGATGGAAAAGGAGGGCTGCACATCCCTATGTTTGGAGAACTGTAAGCACCTAACAGATGATATAAGGCCAGAACAAACCTCGGAATGGCCGAGGTTGGCAGGCACCCCTAGAGCTCACCCAGTGCAGCCCTGCTCCACAGGGACACCCCGAGCACGGGGCACCCGGGCGCATCCCGGCGGGTTTGGGAGGTCTCCAGAGCAGGAGCCTCCGCAGCCTCCCTGGGCAGCCTGGGCTGTGATGTGTGATCATGTGTGATCACACCATGTGTGATCTGGCTTCTTGTTCAGAAATTCGGTCATTTCTTTTCATCTATGATCAAATTTCTGACAACATACTGTGATCCTTTCATAGGCTTTGCCTCTCTCTCATATTAAAATCTCAAATGGTGTAATTACATAGATTTTGGTAAAATATCGTTGCCTTGATGTTAGCAGCTTAAGATGTAACAGTGGTTCTGTCTAAGATATGGAAACCTTGATTTTTGTGGTTATAGTTTGGTTTGGTCAAGTTTTTATGGTGCAATTCCTGAGATAAAGATGATGGTTTTAAATAATAAGTATTACTAAAATGCTTGTGGCTGAGCTTTGAGATAATATTTCATCACTGAAGATGTGGGACTCCTGAAGAAGACTGATGTGCTCCTGAATCATAGTGTAGATTTAAACCTTTTTTTCCTTTTCTCCCCCTTTATAGGGTCAGAATGTAAGCTGACTTGTTCCTTTTGAATTCCCATAGTGCTGGGGACAACCTGAAGTTCTTCTAGGGGTGTTTTGAACCAAAATACTGTTTTCTCTTCTAGGCATGTTGTTGTGAAGACTTCTCCCAACCACAAATACATTTTTACACTGAGAACCCATCCCTCAGTTGTTCCTGGCAGCATCGCGTTCAGCTTGCCCCAGGTACTGTGCAGTTTGAGTTACCATTTTGCTGTGGAATAACCCAAGATGTGTTTTGAGATCGATATTGACAATAACTGTCCTATCTGGCCCATTTAAAATATTCTGCAAACTTGATTTTGATGTGAGAATTTTGTAGAGACATGTACTATAGCTGGAGCAAACTTTCTTTTATTTTTTTGATCTTTGTGAGCTTAAATATACTACAAAACATTTGCACTAACCTTTAAAATAAACACAAGCAACAAACTCTTAAAAAAAAAAAAAAAGTCCAAGCAGTATCTGTTTTGCTGTGAATTGTTATCGACCTCTGTTTTCCCTGGGCTGTAAGAGGTTTTTTTTTCCCATGTTGCACTTTCCAAGACATGCAGGAAATGGTATTGATTGTGTGCAGTCATTGCTTGTATTTCCAGATGAAAAGTGCAATGAAATGCATAAAATCGGTTTGAGTTGTCTCCTCTTTCTTAATTTATCGACTCAAGTTACTTCATTTTAAATGATGGTTGGAATAAATAATTGATGCAGTTGCAGAGAAGTGAATCTGGAGACATGTAGCCTCTAACTGACAGACTCGGTTGCGTAACGTATAGCAGCAACAATCATGGTAATTGATTTAATGCTTTCACATTTCCCTGCCAGTAACTGGTCGAGTCTCAGTGCTGCAAGTGCAAGACTTTTTTTTCTTCCACAACAGATGACTTGGCCTAGGCCCCAAAATCCATTTTTTGCTTTTTGACATGATGTTCCAATTCAGATTTGTCCGGACGAGTGGGTGACTAGAACGTTGCCATATGTCCAGTAATGATTTATGATGCTAAAAGTGATCAAGTAAATTTCCAATACAAGATATTGGCAATGCAGGTTGAAAGTAGGTGAGTTCATTATCTAGGGTTGATTTTTTTTTTTTCTAGATTCCAGTAGTTTTTGTAGCTGTAAGAAACACTTCTGCTAAGAATTGAGATAATTTGCATATCCTTAAAATGTGACTGATAGTTCTACACTTGTTGATGGATGGATACTTTGAGTATTCCTGATGCTTAGATTTAGACTTCCAGTATTTCCTGAAGTCTTTGATGACCACATCCAGAATTAGGCAAAATGTATATATTTCTGTCAACTCCCATCTCCACCAATTGTGGACAGTCACGTAGCAGACAGTTTGCAAAAACTAAGACCCAGTACTGAGAACTTCTATTCTACATTGCTTATGTATATTAAATTCTTTACTGCCATCATTCTGTGATAATTTTGCTCTTAGCGTTAAAGACCCCAAGATGTTCATACACTGCAGAGGATGAAAGACCAAAGGTGCTGCAGCATGGGATTAAATATGGAAGCATAAAAACCCAAACGTAAATGGCCATAAAATATAGTATTTCAAATGAGGTGTCACTAGACCTCTGCGTAGTGATCCTAATAATATCTCATGATTTGTGCCTCTCCTTCTTGCCTCTTGTTCTTACAAGCTGCATATTATCTTACTAAATGCTGTTTCTTGTTTCTGTAAATGTTACATGCTTTTGCTATTACTCTGATTTTTGAAATAGGTTTGAGAGAAAGAGCTGTAATCTAATGAATGAAACCCAGAATGAAGCTATCAAGCAAATGACATTCCCAGTGTCAGCGCGAAGGGCCATTTTTGTGTATTGCAGTTATTCTGGGGGAGGGAGGGCTTGGCTGTTAAACATATTTTGTGATGACTCACAAGCCATTTCAAAGTAGGAGGTCCTATTTTTTTAGTACAGAGTGTGGAAGTGACCATGACTTTTGAGTAGCCAGAAATGTGGACTGTACAGGTAATAGCCAATCTTTAGCACAAGAAGCATTAGAAGGAGATCAATAATCAAGCCAGAAGTTTTGGTCTAAAAGAAGTTATAGATTTTTCATGGCACATAGATTTGAAAATGATTCAATATTTTTCTCTTGTGGTTTTGTGCTGCACAAACCTTTTTTTAAAGACAGAATGTGCAAGGAGAGATGTAAAGAGTTCTTTCTAGTTCTTTGGGAGATCTGTAATTGTTCATATTGTAACAAATTCCTGCAATCATTTTTACCTGTAAACTTCTAAAATGGTCATGGAGGGCAGAGCTTTTCCTGCCTCATGGACCACATCTACATGGTCAGCCCCTGGGCTTGACTGAGAAATGAGCAGAATGGCCCCAAAATGTCCAGTACAGCGACGTCTGCTGTGTACATGGCAGGTTGGCCAACAATGTGAATGTCAGGTCTGCTTTAATGAACGTAACCCTGTCTTTAGTGTAGGATGTGGGCTGTGATTCCAAAATTGGTCACTGAATTACCAGGTGTTGAACATGAATTGTCATGATGATACTTTGAGCAATTGGGGAATCTTTCGTTTTGTAGAGTTTTGTAGGGCCTTATTCTGCCAAGCCTCTGGCAGAGAGGCTTGGTTATCTAAATGAGGCTGTTATCTCTCAAGCAGGCTCTGCTTTTCATGAAGAACAGGCTTTGTGAAACCTTTTCTCTTTGTTTTACAGCGAAAATGGGCTGGACTTTCCATTGGACAAGAAATCGAAGGTCAGTCAGACAGCAGCGTGGTCATGATGTATGTTTATAAAAGCTGGTTCCCGTGTGTCCAGACTGAAGTGGAATCAAAATGGCTCTCGAGGGAGGGGATCCTCACCCTGTACTCAGCTCTGGAGACTGTGTCCAGCTCTGGGCTCCCCAGGACATGAGGGATGTGGAGCTGCTGGAGAGAGTCCAGCGCAGGGCTATGAGGATGATCAGGGGCCTTGGAATATCTGTCCTATGGGCAAAGGCTGAGGGAGCTGGGCCTGTTCAGCCTGGAGAAGAGAAGGCTGAGGGGGGGACCTGATCAGTGCCTATAGATACCTCAAGGGAGGCGGTGAGGAGGAGGGGTCGGTCTCTTTCAGTGGTGGCCAGCGACAGGACTAGAGGAAATGGCCACAAACTGAAGGACCAGAAGTTCCACAGGAGCTTAGGGAAACATTTCTAGAGAGTGAGGGTGCCAGAGCCCTGGCACAGACTGCCCAGAGAGGCTGTGGCTCTCAGCTTTAGGAGCTGCTCTTTGCTCTGTCTGCAGCTTTTCAAGTATTGACCAAACTGCTGGCAGCAGCTTCCACTGCAGGAAGGCCTCCATGGGGCAGCTGGTTTACAGACCTGGGTTTTGTACTACTATTTTTCTTTTTTCTTTTTTTTTTTTTTAAATAAACACTAATATTGAGTTGTCAGAGCAGATTTCTCATCATACTTGTACTACATCCTACTGCAAACTTAGCGAGTGTGGGGGAATATGTATGAAAAAAGAAATTGCTGCAATTTCCTGCAGAGTGACTAAACATCATATGACTCCCTTGGGAGTAGAAAGACTTAGTAAAGCTATGCTACAGGTGGAGAGAAATAGCCATAAAGCTGGTGACTTACCAAGACTCCTCTTTTTTTTGTCTTGTTCCTCTCATAACATAAAAACTATGTTTTAAATGTCATCTTAAAGAGCAGTTTGCAGTTCTTTCCTTAATGGTAGCATGAAGCTCAGTTCTGTCAGGCCCCAAATGCGTAAGGCTTTGCAGGGGGGTCAAACTCATAACTCCATGGAAGGCGATCTGGGGCTGGGGGCTTCCAAGTGATGTTGTCCTCTTGCCCTTTAAGGCAGTCCAGCTTTATGGGCCCTTGGGCCGTGCTCAGCAGCAGGACGTCGCTGCTCTGCTGCCTTCTCGCCCTCCTCACGGGTTCCAGCTCTGAAGCTGCTGGAACCTGTGGGAGCTGCTGGCTCTGGAGCTGCTGCAGAGCGCTGCATCCCGGGGCACATGCAGGGCGGACGGTTATTACCCGCCTCTGCACCAGATATATCCAGCACTTGCACCTGGATGTAAAGAGCCTTGTGGAATCCTCCTGTTCTGTGAGGTGTCTGTGGGCAGGGGCTAATGCTCTTTCTGGATACTTCTTTTTGGCAAAGCCTTGAGATTAAGGAATGAAAACAAAGGAAGTGCTCTGAGGTGAGCTGTAAGGCTCGGAGTCCTGTTACGGCCTTGCAGGGCCAGTGTCCCTCACTCATCAGCTCTGAGTGCTGTGTTACTCCTGGTGCCATGTCACAATTCAAAAGAACCAGTTAATGTTCCTCAGTTAAGGGACTGGTGCTGTTTCTTCTTCATCCCGGTCTCTTTCTATAACAGTTTGTTTCTAAGTTGCCTGTTCTTATACAAGTAAGGACTGTAAGTCTGTGTATTATCATGAACATACTTCCAGTATCATCTTAGACAAGTGATGGGCTCTTTTCATTCCTCTTACCTGAATTAATCTGTTCTTGTAGCTGATGCTTCTCTTCAGTGGATGCTTTTGTCAGCTTAGCATCTTCCCAGGAGTTTGCAAGTTTACTCTGGAGCCTTTTCACAGCCAAGAAAGTTGATAGTAAATAGCAGGCTCTGGGGGAAGTGCGTTTCCCTTATTCACCTCCTGTGACCACGTCTTTAGCTGTGACGTCTGCATCAGATAAGTCTTTCTCTAGATTCAAGGCAAACCTGGAAGATGTCTTAGTGTCCCAGAGAAATGTCTGCTTCTGTCCTTTGCTGCAGTCTGGACCTGCTAGATATTAAGATTCTCTGCTATGTTTTACCCTGTCCTTCCAATCAACTGTCCTGAAGCCCTGCAGATGTGAAGCACGTTCTCCTCTGTAGCCTCCTTTCTCCAGCTCCAACAGCCCCGAGTGCCCTACTGTTTTTGGCATGGTGTCATCTGAGCACAGTTGGGCTCGAGTACACATGGCACCTTCAATGCCTTGTTGCTTTTTTTCCTCCCTTTTTGATTCTGCATCACTGGAAGTGTGCTGAGACATGATGAGAAGTGCTCAGAGCACTTCTGTGGTGCAGGCTGATTCCTGGTGCCAGAGAGGTAGTTGATGCCTCTTTCTGGCTTGTGGAAGGGTCGACTCCTCTTGCTGCTTCCTCTTGGGCCTTCTGAAGATGTGCCCTTCACATCCTGTTTAGGCCATCCGTGTAGCCATCGTGGTAGCAGAACTACCCATTATCTACCCAGAGGATCCAGCTATATGGGTCCTCATCATCCTCATCTCCAAACTCCTACAGTGCTGAAACTGTTTTGAGAGCATTTAGAGGTTTTAAAGAAATGCAGGATTTTCAGTGGAGATACTTTTGTATCCATTTTCTGCTGTACCATGAAAAAGAAATGAGGATCTCTGTCAGAAATAATAGATTTGAAAAAAATAGGTATTTAATTTACATAATCATGTATTTCAGGTAGTTGATATTTCTACTTATTAGAAGAATTTTTTTAAAAATTTTGAGTAACATTAACATCTGACAAGTGAGAAATCCCATATAACTGGAAGAAACATGCAATGGCAAACTTACAGCCTATTTAATAGTTTGTGTGAAGATCTTGCTGTGCTGAAATGTGCTGCTTTTTTTTTTTTTAACAGTTTCTTTATACACTTTCGACAAGGCGAAGCAGTGTATCGGCACGATGACGATCGAGATAGATTTTCTGCAGAAGAAGAACATTGACTCAAACCCCTACGACACAGACAAAATGGCTGCTGAATTTATCCAGCAGTTCAACAGCCAAGCTTTCTCCATAGGGCAGCAGGTGAGATTCTTTTAGCCATAAAAAGACTCTTTTAGCCTTGCAAATAGCTGTGTGTGCTGGTGTATGCAGTGCTGCGAAATACCAAACAGTACTTAATGCCGCAGAGGATGGCTTATAGACAGAAATCACTTAATCTGTGGACAGTTTCTTTAGGAATAGTTGAACTCTCATGACATTAACTGAGAGCATGAACAGAGTGGTTTAAAATCTACTTTTTCCTTAGCTAAAGAAATATATCTTTGTGCAGAAAATCCTTAAGTTTAAGAAACTTGGGATATTTCTCCATCTCAGCCTGGTTGAATATAAATGGAGCAGCATCCAGAACCTTTTGACAAGTAACTTTGTATTCCTTCTATATAAAACTATAAACACTGTTTTAATTAGTTTTCAGTAGCCCCTTTCATGTGAAGTGTGTACTGCTGCAAACGTTTATTACTACTTTGTTGGCTCCAGTTGTAAATTAGACACAACGCATTTTGCTTAAAGGTTTCTGAAAGCTGGTGTCCCTGTAACTGGGCATTTCAGCTCCACAACCGGTGGGTTTATGTCCCAAAGAATTATTGTGAAAATGTCTGACATGTGACATTCTGAGCACAGACTGGCCTGTCCTTCGGGGTGTTTACAGCATGCCGGGCCTGAATCTTAAATCAGTGGCAAATGTAATTTTGAAGGAAAGGCGCTGCAAAGGCAAAGCCCCTTCTTCTGCAAGGTGGGACCCTCCTTTTGATAGTGTTTGTTCTTTCTCCCTGCTATCTGCTCCAGAACGACTTTTGAGGTATCACTATTAAACCAAAACATCAAAAAGGCTTGATCTAAGTTGCTCTCCTGGCCTAACACCAGGGTTTAAAGCATCAAGAGATGTTGCAGAACATCCTCCCAGAGGGAAAAAGGAGGAGAGAGAAAAACATTCAATGGAAGGAAGCTACTCCTTGAATTTTCCACCTTCACTTAAGGCTGGGCTACTCTTGCCCTGTTGCAGTGAAGTATGAGCTGTGGAAGGGATGTCCTTAGTATACTAGACCTTCACAGGGAGAAGTTCTATGAACCTTAGGTGGTAATCCTAAGACTCTTTGGACTTCTCTCTCTTCAAATTTGATTAGCCTTGTTAGAATCCTTTTTGTCTTTTTAATGAGTTAAAATCCCCTTTTTGCTGCTTCTTTTCACAGCTTGTCTTCAGTTTTAATGACAAACTCTTTGGCCTGCTGGTAAAGGACATGGAAGCTATGGATCCCAGCATCCTCAAAGGAGAGAGTGGAGCAGGCAAAAAGCAGAAGGTGGGGGCCAAGGAATTCATGTTCATTCTGTAGGAACAGCAGAGACTCAACTACTCATCAGATGTTGTTATGAGGAGGAACTTAGGTTACTTGCATTTGCAGAAGCTGTGCATTTGTGCTGGTTGTGCCTTGGAGGAGATCAGGAGCAGTATTTTTGGTTAAATAAAGTCTCCTGTGCTTATAGATCTGAGAGCTTAAAGTTGCACACACTGGAGTGCAGAGGTGGGACTCGGATACATAAATGGTGTTTGGATTTTATGCACTTGTTCCTGGAAACAGTCTCTTTTGACACCTTCTGTCCTCAAGATATGTCCAGTTGTTGTTTTTCCTTCTATAGAAGCATTTTTTCATCTCCATTTGTTAATCTTGCTGAAATAAAATGCTTGGTTTTAAACTAAACAAATAGCTTGACAAAAGCCCAGCTTATTATAACAGGAGTTTTATAGGTATAATCAAGTGAATTCAGTGTCATGCGATTGATAGCAAAATTAGTGTTAGAGGAGGTGTTGATGTTTCACGTTCCTACCAGTGAGTTCAGTTGTGGAGCTTTTGCCTCTGTTGCTGGCTTTCAGAGGTGTGATGGAAATATCCAAAGAGGAATGTGAAGTTGAGCCTAATAGTTGGATTTAACTATTTGTTTTTCTCCCTTTTGCAGATTGAGGTTGGTCTGATTCTTGGGAACAGTCAAGTTGCCTTTGAGAAAGCTGAGAACTCTTCTCTCAATCTGATTGGTAAGTGCTGCTATATCCCAAGGGAGATGAAAAAGAGAGCCCCAAGTTTGCTACTTTTTCAAGTCTCAAGGACATGTCTGCTTCCAAGTTTGTTTTGCCAGTCATATCATCTGACCAAGTTGACTGAGAACGACATCCCTTAATTTTTCCCAAGTATTTGATTAAACTAGCAGATGTCTGGGCTTGGTCTCTTAAGACCCTTTCACAAACCCTGTAGAAAGCAGGTGCTGCATGTTCGAGAGTCTTAAGCTGCAGCCCTAAGAAGATAGCTCTCCTTCAAGCGTTGCTTCTTCTAACCACAGACTCTATAGACATCCCTGTATCGTGCAAGTATACAGTTTCACCACAGGCATATGTACACAAGCTAATTGGTGGGCCTTCATATCATGTTTATTACCACAGTCTATCTAAAATACAAGGGGAGAAGACAGGAGGAAGAAATGTCAGTCTCTCCAAGGCGCTCACCATACCAAGAGGAGTTATGCGAGTAGAGAAGGTCGCCTAGTCACGCTGTGCTCGTGCACCTGGATTCAGGAGGCATTGGCCAGTCGTTCCAGCCAAAGACAACAGCTCCTGGAAATGTTTTAACTCTACATCAAGGAATGATATTTTCAGGGAGAGTAATAAACCAATACCTCTTTAATTCAAACAGCAGAGGAATGGGAAGGTGAGAAGAACTCTTCTGATATGTTAGTCAAATTTGCAAAACAACTGCAAAGCTTTTGAGAATCCCCTCTTTAATACCATGTCTCTAACCTGATGGATTAGAGAACAGTGTGTGAAGAATACTTTGGTTTTCTTATCTTAGGCAAGTCCTGCTCTTCAGAAGCTGATGCTAGTTGCAAAATTCAGTGCAGAGCATTACATTACTCTGTGTGTTTGCATTTACTTTTCATGCAATGAGGTTATTAGCAAAACTACAGTCTGTTTTGTAAAGAAAAGCTATCTAAATCCTCAGCAAAATCTTCATGCATGAATTTTAATAGCAAACAAATCGGAGAAGAGTTGATGCATCCTCCACGTATTCGTTTAGGTAGAAAACTGCTGTACAGGTTGAAAAGGGCTCTCTGATACGTTCCTGTAGGGCTGCAACATGAGTGGTAGTGGCTGGACAACAATGTGGGCAGGGAGAGCACTGCCCTGCACTTGCCTGTGCAGCCGTGTGGCTGTCCTGCAGAACAGGCACATTTGCTTGTGGATGACACTGTCATTAAGCACATTAATTAGGATGCTCTTTTTTTTAAGAGCACAGAATGAAGTTTGCAGGAGGGTGATTATAGCCCTTTGATAGGACAGCTTGAGGTGGGTATTAACATAATCCAATTTACTGCCTCAGAGGAAGCAGTGATATTTACTAGGTTAGTGTTCAAAGCCATGTAATGACCTGTGATCTTCCTCCTAGCATGGCTAGGTATGAAGAATGGTCCTTGGGGAGAGGCAATTGAGTGGGAGTAGGAATCCTTCACTGCGCTTCTACTTCGTTGCCTGCAGACAAGACCAAAGAGCTGCTTATGCCTCAATTTCCTTCTGTTAGATTGGTACTTTATTTAATCTCCTTACCGATCTGAGGCAGAATTGCTTTGTGTGCTTTGTTAGTCTCTGGAGAATTGCAAAGTTGTGAGTAATTAGATTTTTGAGAGGGAAGATAAAAGTCAAGCCAAGTGCCGCTGAGCTGTACCTTCAATAACGGGCCTTTATTTTCCTCAGTAGAAGAAGAATTGGGATCATTAAAAAATAATGCCAGTTCTGTTTCTTCTCTTGAGCCTGAAATGATGTATTAAAACCCGTGAATAAGGTTTTAGTGGAATCTGAATTTTATTGTTATCAGTTTCAGCCAGAAGGGGGGGACATAGGCTAAGTTCTAGAGGAAGAAAAACATTAAACATTGCGGCAGAGCCATGAGATAATAAATACCCAATAATTAGTGAATCATGCTCCCTGCTGCCCTATATGGTATTATATTATACAAAGCACCACATTGTCACTATCATGATAGTTAGGGACGTGTTCTTGTTTGGTTTGTCACACGTGGAATTAAAATATTGAGTTGAGATGTCTATAGGTCAAGATTAACAGCAATCAAATGCAGTTTATGAAGAACTTATTATTCAGTTATTACAATCTTGTAAAGAACTGGGTGAATAAGAAAGCCTGAAATGTCCAATTTCAGCGAGAACTGAGGAATAGCTTGAGGATCTTTGCTTCCTTTCCAGGTTTTTATATTATTACTAGTTTCTCTATTAGCCCTGTAAAGTGATTTGCTAAAAGCCCTTCGGAAGTGTTGACCTGAGCAATACGAGTGTTGGTGCTTGTTTATAAATTCCCAAATGCATTAGGGGGGCTCCGTGGCTCTGCTGCTGTTGCAGCTGTATTGTTCTTACCGCCTGCCTCCCAAATGCAGTGATTTCATTCAGGCTCCAATGAAAAGGGAGCTTGGAGCTCTCAAAGATGAAAACTTTGTCAACAGAAGAGAAAGGGAGACTATTACCCTATTGCATAGCGAATACAAAGCCTGTGCTTAGGGGGTCTGGCCTAGTTGCAAATAGCTGCAGAAGAGGTTATGGAATAAGTAGCAAAAAGAGCAGTGGTAGTTTGTCAGACTGGCCTTTATTCACCTGACTCATAAAGGAACTGAAGGATGACATAAATGGCCCCATAATACTGATTTATCAGCTTGTTTAAATTGCTCTGGTATCAGAGGCTGGCAAATGTTAAGTTTTAAAAAGAAGTCAGAGGTCTGGGGAGCTACAGGTCTTTAAACCTGAAATACCGAACAAATCGGCAGAAACTGTAGGAAGGAATCAAATTAGTGGATATTTGTGTAAAGATGATACATTGGGAAAGGTCAGCGTGTCATCGGTAAGAGAAGTCCTAGATCCTCCTGGAGGTTCGTTACAAGACTCAAAAAGCTCGAGGATGGTGGCTGACCTAGTCTGCCTATTTTTTCAAAGCTCTTCCAGCAAAGCTCCTTTTCAGAGTTTCTTTAAAAAGAAACTTAGCAGAGATGTGTCAGAGAGAAGGTCCCTGCAAGATTGGATGAATGATGAAAGGGTAGAAGAAAATATCAGTTCCAGTGGAGTTCAGCATGAGCCTCTGCCAGGGCCTTTGCTTTTTGTTATAATTATTGAATAACCTGTATAAAAAGTCTGGATAATGAAGAGATAGAACTTGCCCTTATGGGGCTAAGTGAGTAGGAAATAAAGTAGTAGAGGAAATTCAGTAAAGTGATGCGTGAAAGGAAAACACTCTTTACTGGTCAAAACTGATTGCTGTTCGGAGCCAAGATCCTGGTTATGCCCCGTGCTCAGCAGTCTGAGCCCTCTCCTTGAGGCTTGGGAAGCACAGTTGTTAAGATCGGCGTGCGTTATTTTCTTAAAAATGTTTGGAACAAAGCAGGGCGTAATTGTGCATCTGCATTCAGTTGGAGGCAGACTGCACTGTGTGTTCTGCCCTGCCCCTCTCTGAAAGGAGGTAGGAGAAGCAGAGAAGACTGCAGGAGAACAACAGAGATGCTCGGGTGTGGAGCAACTGCTGGGTAAGGAATTAGTAACTGGGTAGGTCTCTTCTGTCTGGAAAAGCTGCGGCAGGGATGGATGCAGGACAAGCGAAATACGTAAGGGCAACATCTGGCTCTGTTGCTGAACAGGAACAGTGGAAGGCCAGGAAAAATGTAAGGGGAAGTGTCTGGTGCACCACTGCATTTGGAGTGAATCCACTTGACTGGGGTGTAAAACTGCCTGTTGAGTTAGGTGGACACGGGACTGTCCCTGTAGAGCTGGTGGAAATGGTTGTTGGTTTGTTTGTTTTTCCCAGGTAAATCAAAGACCAAGGAGAACCGCCAGTCAATCATCAACCCAGACTGGAATTTTGAGAAAATGGGCATTGGAGGCCTCGACAAGGAATTCTCAGACATTTTCCGACGAGCTTTTGCTTCCCGTGTTTTTCCACCGGAGATTGTGGAGCAAATGGGTGAGTGTGATGCAGGGCACTGTAGTGGAGTGCGGGATACAGGACACTTTTTGGTCTGGAAAGATTAATATCAGCCAAGGACCTCATGATGCTGTGACATGGCACTTGCTTAGGGATGCAGTAGACTAGCAAAGCCCCCAGATTCCTTCCCTGCTCCTGTTACTTGGCTAGAGAAGGGGGACAGAGAAAGCGCTTGAATGTCAGCACCACAGATGGAATATGTGAGCAGATGACATGGTTTAACTCAGTTCTTTTCCATTGGAATCCCAACAATTTCTATGCTCTTGAATATTTCATTTATTCATAGCAATGAGATTAAATGGTCCCATTCCTGACCTGTCTGCAGTGGGTTCTCTGCACAAATCAAAGCATCTGGGTTTAATAATTTTGCGTTGCATATAGTATCTATTCTGGTGATTGTACCAGAAACATACGTCCTTTTCATGGTATTAGCCCAAAAAATAGAATATCTTGTGTCATTTGTGTATGGTCACATTTGAAATGCTAGAGAGGATACACAGGCAGCACGAGTCTGTGTTACAAAGCACAGAAGATAAATGCAAGGTGGAAGAAGGTACGACAGTCCCAGTACCTTGCTGGCAGACAGATAAATGTTACTTTTAAAAGGACCCTTTAGTGAGTGGTACACAGCTACTGCAACCTTATTTTATAAATAAATGTCTTAACTAGTTTTGTTTTTCTAAATACAGTCTACTTGGATTTGTATTTAAACTTTGGATCAGGAGGTTTCATTATTATTTTTGTTTTTCTTTGCCTACCAACCTGCCCTCTCCCCAGAAATAAAGCAAAGAAGACTTTGATTGCAAAGCAGGTTTTTCTTTTGAACAGAATATTTGTGCCCAGTGCTTGTGCTGGTGGTGTCAAAATAAACTTTCCTGGGACGTGAATTAGGTCCTTTCTTACAGTGAGTTAAGCACTTGGGGAGAAACACTGAAGGAATGCTGGCGGCGAAACCAATTAGTGCCCGTCTCTCCTGCCGTTTTGCTTCCTTTCGATGTAGTGGCGAAAGCCTTTTGTGGGCTGGTCTTGGTTCTCTTGAATATGGCGGCTGTGAACAAGTCACACCTTCTCTGCCTTGGTTTGAAAATGTAAAATGTTTAATTTTGCTAATATTTATCTACTCTGCAGTGAGAAAAATGGGGTTATTTATGGAAAGAAAAGCTGTTCTCTTGCCTATAGACTCTATGTTATGTCCAGTTCAGAAATGTGCCTTCCAGCAGGCATTTAGACAGACCAGCACTCTTTATTTGGAATATTTAGACCTTTTGAAGCAACAGGTACCTCCTGTGAAGGCCGGAAGCCTGATGGCTACCACGCAAGGTCGTGGTGCTCAGATGGTTCCTCTTGTTGCTTAATACAAGGAGAAGAAAAACGCCTGAAGAGCCTCTCATGTTTTGATTACCCTGAGCAATGAATCAAAGGTGTGCCCTGGTATTTGCATAAATAGATATACCCTCACTTGTGCGTGTTTACGCACATACTGCACAAAGAAACATTTTTCTTGTAAGAAGTTAAGAGTCCAAACAGACTTTTTTAGCTCTCCGATAAACCCTAGGGCTAAAAAGCTTATCTGAAATTTGAAAAAACAAAACTTTCTGACATTCATTTTCTTTGCCTTAGTTATAACTTGCTCTTAACTATATTTCAGATCTGAAATGTCAGTGTGACAGCTGTTCACCTCTCCATAATTTATCAGGAAAGGAAAGGAAGGAATGCGCTTGCTGAACGGTGCTGCCGGTGCTCAGCCCCGACTGGGTTTTGCCCCGTGCTCACAGGCCGCAGCCTCCATGCCGAGTGCAGTAAATACTTCTGTCCTGTAACTGTACAGAGGCTGTAGAGACCCTTCAGAAATTGCTTGCGATTTGTGTGTGGTTGATCTAACTTCCAAGGAGTGCTCGGGGTTTGGAGCATATAAATCAACTTCAGTTAACCGTGTCGTCCAAGGATGTAAATGCTACTCAGATGCCTCTGTGTGCAGTTTATCCAGGAGGAGAAATCTTAGACTGGGCTCAGTTAGTCATTAAACCTCAATGAGCAGGAGCTCCCTCCTGCTTTGGTAATATGAAATTTGAAAGGGCAAATTTCCCTTTCTTGACCCGTTCCTTTCCCTCGTGCAGCTGCATGACATCCGTGGGTGCGTTGGGCCTGTATGGTTCTGCAGAGAAATAATAGACCAATTTAAGGTGGTAGCTTTTAAGGCTGTACTATCACCAATTACTTGAACAAAGCACATGTTAACATACGTAGGTTTTACACATCAACTTCACACATCTTACAGCCTTTCTACTGCTTCATCCACTTCGAAAAAAGTAGATTTCACATGTATGCATGCTTGTTTAAATGTAAAATTTGTTTAAGTTTAATAATAGCTAGTAAAATGTTTAGCCTTACAGATCACACTTCTGATGAGAGATGGAGGTGGAAGTCGTGTTCCTTGTTGTGTTAACATCAAAAAATGATTAAATCGGGTGTTTGGAAGGCAATTTCTTGTTCTCAGTAACCATCTTAACCTGTGCTCTGAGCTCCCGGGACTCTACATTAGAAGTTCAGCTCTCTATCTAACAGTGAAGCATCGACAAACGCAGATTCAATATTCAGCTTGGCAGATACTCAGATCTTTTTTTCTTTCTTGTCTTCACTCCATAGGTGAAGTATTCACTTGTCTTAACGTTAATATGTGAATGTTCTTGAAGTACTCAAATGCTGTAAGAGAAAGATAAGGTTGGAGAGGATTTCATCCAGTCCATTCCCAAGTCAGGAAAATTTCTGTGAGAATTCAATGTCAGATGTATTATCTACCGTCTATACTGGCTGACAGAAATGCCAGAAGAAGCTGTTGTCCCAAGACAACTTATTCTGCTGCTTAAAAGTATCTTTACTGTCAAAATATTCCAAATATTTATTCCCAGTCCTGCAGCAGTTTATACTGCACATAAAGTGTTTGTGTTGTTTATACTGTAGATAAATGAAGTGTTTGTGTTTTTTAAAAGCTTTTTACATACTTGTTTGATCGTGTTTCTGTTCAGCCTTCTCAAGACTAGATCTCAGTTTCTTACCTTCTTTCATACCTTCTTTCTTCATTCTTTCTTGTCTTCAGACTTAGAAACCTGTACCTTGTAAATAACGTTGTTTCCAAATGAGTTCAGTTCTGCCTGTCAGTGGCCTTGGAGCTGGTGTGGTTTCATGATGTGCAGATTTACTAAGTGAATCGATGTGAGGATCTTCACCCTTGGAAGTGGGAAGGAGGTGAGAGAGATCTGCACAATTCTGCCTATCCAGGAAGGAAAAATACTTGCTCTTTCAGCACAGGAACGTGAATATGAAGGTTGAAAGGGAAACTAGAAATGGGCATGGGAGAGAAATCCCTTGGTAGCTATTTCACATGTAGGAACTGTCTTTCAAGAGATGTCTGTGCTGTGTGGTAGGAGGTGGGGAAGAGAGAGACCTTTCCAGCAGGTGCTTGTCCTGGACTTGTGTGCTCCAATGTACCCGGCCGGTCGTCCCCATCACGGCCTGGGCTGTGGGGACTTCTGCTCTTGCTTCCTGTGGCCGCAGTCAGGTCCTTGGAGCAGCTGCCATTGCCAGTCCTTGGCAGCCGTAATTTGCTCTAGCTGGAAAACCAGGCCCTGGGACATGCAGTGACCCTGTTATGCTCATACCTGTTTGCTCTGGAATGCTTTGTGGATAAGTATTCCATAAAACATTTACAAATTGCATTATGTTGAGTTCACAGAAATGATCCAGCTTTACTTCAAAAGGTAGAGGATGCCGAGAAGATTTATGGCTATTAACACCCAGGTGGGATATGACTATAAACATCAGCTGCCGCGTTCGGCAGTCCATCCGACGATTCTGCATAATCTTCGTCTTACATTAGCTATATTTATGTAACTCTATTAAGAAGCAAAGGTGTTAGCTCTTGTTTTGCTTCGTTGATGGCTTCTTTTAGAGATCAGTTTGTTTTGTGTGCGTTCTTATCGCAGTCCCTTTCCTGATAGTCATGATTTTGTTTGTGTAGCCAAAGGCATTGTTTTGGGCGCCTTTTGAGAGCTGGTGTATTTTCATTTTTTATCAAGTTCCATCAGCAACTGATAAATAGTTCACTGTTTTCATTGATCTAATTATTGCTTCATTACACATGCGTGCTTATTTATTTTTCATCTCTATATGACATGCTGAGAAAGCTGGGAGATGGTTTCCAGGGTCTAGAAAGAAGCCTACTTTGTCACCCTCTCTTTGGAATAGAGCAGCATTTGTTGCCTCAGACATTTGGCTGTTGAAGGCCCAATTAAAATGAAAACTTCTGTTTAGAGGGTAGCCCTTTGCTCGTCCCAGCGATGGATTAAAAGCAGAAGTAAGTCCTACACGAAGGTTAAACTGCAGGCAGCGATCTCAGCTGGAAGAATGTGGGTTTATGGATTAAGAGGAGGGGAAAATTCCACCTACCTCTGTTAATGGCAAATGTCGCCTGTGTGACAGGCAAAGTCCAGGAATTCTACTCATGTTCAAACCTTCTTGGAGTTTAATGTGCAGAGATCAGCATCTGTCCCTGATGTATTCAGGATCAGGACTTTGCTATCAATGTAGATTCCCGATAGGTGCATCTGAATGATACAATCACACCAAAATGCTTTGATTTTTAATTAAAAGGGGAATTCTCCTCTCAAGTAGAAAATCCCTATTATACTAAAACATTCCTTCTGATCTTTCAAAGAGACGAGTAGTGAGAAAAGAGCAAACAAACTTAATTTTGTCTTTGGGGAAATGATATTCGGGTTTAAAAGTGTTTGACTTTTAATAGCAGTAGTTGTTAGCCATCATAACAGTTTTCATGATTTTTTCCCCTAGTATTTTGTGTAGAATGCTTTTTGTACAGGCTTTGCAGTTCCTGTTGACGTACCTGTTCAGCCTCTAACCGTATGTCATTAAATTGTATAATTAAGTATCCCATTACGGGAATGACCTTTGATTTGGAGACTGAACAGGTTAGAGATGTCTGCACCGCTGATCATCTGTGTTTGTAATGGCCTCATAATAGTATTGACATTTGGCCGTACTGGTGGAATCAGCAAAGTGGAGATAAACTTAATCAAAATTCCTGTGCCGTGCAGAGGATCCTGCTGTGATTCGAGACGTAACATTTGTAGTTTGTCATCACCTGTCTATTACTAAAGTCCTGCTTGTGCTGAAAACTTCTCGAGCCAGGTGAAGGAAATCTTGACCGGAGTTTTATTTTAAGAGGAACCAGCGGCTTTGCTCCAAGAAGGTCTTTGCCACCTGCGGCTCGGCTCCTTCCCAACGCTGTCCCTGTCCAGTGCACGTTGAGGCTGGGCCAAGTCCCAGTGCGGATGGTTTGTAACGTCCTTGATGTTCAGGTGGTGGGGAACGCGGGTGCGTGCTCTCTCTTGCTGAAGACTACCCATGACCTGCCCTGTGGTGGCCTGAACTCCTCTTTGTGAGGGCTGGTAGTTAGATGCCAAGCTGTTTCTGGGATGTGGCACCTGCTGTGTCCTGCGGTTGATCTTTCGGCTCTGGTGGGATGAGAGGCTAATGGCCTAGTAAAGTGCAAGGACCTTGGCAGGGAGGAAGCTGAAGCAGCAGGTAGCTTTGTCCAGCTCCTTTTCTTCTGTGCTCTTCTTGCAACAACCTCTGTCCTTTCAGCAGCTCATCTTTTTTCCCTGCTTTGGGCTTATCATGATGAGATATGACACTTTCTCAGGCTAGGTTCGAGTATAGAGAGGGGAAGATCCTGCAAGGCTTTTTAAACAAATCTGTCCAAAGGCTGAGGTGCCTTGTGCTAGTGCTTTGTTAAGCCTATTTATTCACATGAGGGACGAGGGGAAGGGATGAGAGGAGTATTGGGGCTTTTCAAAAAGTTCACATTGCTTTGGGCTGTAGAAGAGAAACTTCTAGCAGGTATAACTAGGTTATAACTCCTCCTAGGAGAGAACTTTTAGTTGCAGGAAAACTAGAAAAAGTAGGATTAGACCATTCCCTATAGTTATGTCTCTTTCCTTTTCTGTGGAAAGGATATGAGAGGAAAAAAATGAAATTGTGCAGCACCGTGTTGTGCCTGTCTCGGGCTGCTCCCGGGCCTGGCTGTGTATGCGTCCTGACTTGCCGGTCGCCTTTCCGTGGCCTTTCTTGCCGGAGCACAGAGGAGCTGTCTGCGCATCAGCACATTTCTGTACTCGGGATTTCCCTTCAAAGTATCACTCATCATCCAAATCCTCCTTTGTGCTGTTTGGCTACAGAGGCGATCGGGTTCCTCCCCAAAACGCCTCAACAAGAACTCCGGTGACACTGATTTGACAGCAACAGCTTTTAATTTATCTCTGCCCCATTCGTTCGTGTGTGAAATTAGTGTGTATTTTGTTCGTGTGTTTTGGCTCCTGGATTCCTGAAAGTTGACTAATGAATTCTTCTAAACTGCCTGTCTTGTGTGTGTTGGTTTAATTTTACTTTTGTGGTAAGGCTGTGCTCTGCAGAGGAGGCTAGGAGCAGCTTGATCGCGCTGCTTACCGAGGCAGGCCTGAGGGTTCGGTGGGGCCAGGAGCAGCTCGTTGCTTCGCTCTTGAAACTTCATTTCAGTCCATCCTGAATCACCTCACAAAGGGAGAGCAGCACATGCAGATCATAGAAAGTCATTTGTACTCAGCATTCATTCCGAGTGAAATTTCTATTGTTTGGGATTGGGAATGAAATGAGTCAAAGCAAAGTGCATACAGGAGAAATGTCCGAATTCCTTCAATGCGGATCTTGCCTTGAGGGCTCCGCAGCAGTGAGGACTGGGGCTAGTGAGGCACCCAAGTGGGGAGGAACTTACAGGATGATTCAGACAAGCTGGAAACCAGAAGTTTCTCTCAAAATATTTTTTTCCAAGTGACAGATGGGTAACTGTATGTGCCTAAGCTCATTAAACGTTGATGCTAGGAGGCAAGCTCGGGCCCTCCAAGCCTGAGCTCAGGCCCATCGCAGATGGCCTCATTTTGCTGCTGTTGATGCATCTCTTGAGCACTGCAGGACTCTTGTTGTGTGGTTTACATGCTTAAAAAAGTCAATCAGTGCAAATGTAATCTCTTAAAATAAACAGTGTGAATGTTGTCTACTTCATGGAACTATTTCCACAAATATGTAGCTTTTTTTTTTTTCCCCTCAGTTAACACCAGAAGGATTTTAAGATTGTAGGTGGATCTGATTCTTCTTGAGAGATAACTAGACTGGAAGATGAAGACTTGTGTGCTACCTTGTGTTCCTCGCTTGCTTTCTGCTGTACATATGTGCCTACCTTGTGCAGCAGGAGAGGGAAGCCAAGTAAAAGTTTTAATCCCCTGGTCTTGTGCCTTCATAGACTGACTAGTTTGCTGTCTGCACATCTTGCTTTTCTGTGGGTAAGGGGAAGAGATGAGTAGAGCCAGGAGTAATATGTCTTACTGTGCTTGAAATGAAGTAGGAAGAAATAAATTACCAAAGTAGCTGCTGTGTCCTGATATTAAATAACTAAAACTACTTCATCACAGGTACATTCTTGTACCACCACCTCCCTACCTGCCAGCCCTGTCTAAGAGTGTAAGGTATTTGGGTACAAGGACTTTCAGCCGGTTGATAAAATGCATGTGGGACTCACAAGCTGTGTATGCAAAATTGCATTAATCCTCCAGGAAAGTCTTCCCTATTTTCATTTAGGAACCCTTCGGCAGTTGCGTGTAAGCTTAGGATATTTGAGCCTCATAAACTTGAGCCTCTCCCCCATTAGGCTGCATCCACTGGCTCTTGCATTTTGCCAGAGGAGAGGATTTTAATATTAGTGCTCATACATGGCAGTTAAAGTAATTTTATTCGAATAAATTCAAGATTTTCAGTTCTATCTACTGACAGGTCAAACTTTCTGGGCCTCAATAGTTATAATGGTTCTTATGCAGCCTTTTGCAATTTTCCAAATATTTTTCTTAAAATCTTGGGATTAGAGCAGTGTGTTTTCCGTATGGGGCTTGTTAAAGGCAGAGTAGAAGTTGGGCAGTGTTACAGGTGTCCCTCACTTTCAGATTCAGGAGTCAGTCTGGTTTATCTAACCCTACCCTGGGAGTTCATCTCCAGCTGAGTAGCTCTGAGGAGCTGCTGCTTTCTTTCCTTGTATGCCTGAAAATAAAACTCAGCCGAAACCTCTGAAAAAGGAAGGCTACCTTCATATGGCTGCATGTCCCTGTAGGAGAAGAAGAAAAGTAAACCAGATTTAGCACATGCTCGTCCTAAATTGCCAATGTGTCTTTGACGTTCAGAGTGTCTGCAGTGCCTTGCTGGCCCTTGCAAACATTGGATTGATGTTGATGCTGTCTGACAAATCTGGGTTTGTATTTTCCCGATGAAGACATTGAACAGAGCTGAGGCTAATACAAATCTCTGCAAGTTCTCTGGAAAAACCAACCTCTTTCAAAGAGCACTTCCCTCTTCCCTGTCTTGCACTTGCTGTGTTAGCCTGCTTTCTAAACTGGATTTCTCTTGTTCTAGGCTGCAAGCACGTGAAAGGGATTCTCCTGTATGGACCTCCAGGCTGCGGTAAGACGCTCATGGCCAGACAGATTGGCAAGATGCTGAATGCCAGGGAGCCAAAGGTGGTCAACGGTCCAGAAATCCTCAACAAATATGTGGGCGAGTCTGAGGCCAACATCCGCAAGCTCTTTGCTGATGCAGAAGAGGAGCAGAGAAGGGTAATGCGAACAGAGGCAGAGAGCACGGGCAGCATGCATGTGTGCAAAGAATGACCAGAAAGGAAGTTTATAATCGGGAAATTGCTACTTGTGTGAGAAAAAACCTGAGTCACTGCTCAGCTTGTGATGGTAGCTGCTTAGTGCAAGTTGATGAGTATTAGTGTTCTACACTTTAACACAGTGTCAGATTGAAAAATAATAATAAAAAAAAAATCTAGGAAGCTGAAAAAGGTATCCTATAGTGAAGGGAGTGATAGCTTACTTTTGTATTTCCTCTATATTTACGTGTGTGTGTGTATATATGTATAATATATATAAAATAAAATTTTTCAAGTTTTTGACTTGCGGAATTATAGTGTCAGTATAGTAAAGCACCTGATTATATTTATACTACATTAATTATTGTAAGCACTACTTCACTATTTTTTCTCAGCGGAGAACTAGTAAAAATGAGCAGAAAATGAACGAATATTAGACAACTAATGTTGCCTTCAAGCTACAGAATATGGATTTTCAAAAATGGAAGTGGAGACGACTCTGCTTTTACCATTTTTTTTGCCTGTGTAGCATTGGGCTTTGGATAGCCAACTATAGTTAGAAGGTGTAGATAATCTTTATGTGTACCCGGGTAATTTTTTTTTCTTCTGTAGATCACTTAATTTTGATACAGTTTTCCAATTTTCTTTCTTTCTTTTTTTTTTTTTTTTTTTTTTTTTTTAAAAAAAAAAAAAAAAACAAAAAGCAGGACAGTTTCAGGTAGGGTGCAGTTACAAATAGTGAGGCCTTTCCAGAAGGCAGTAGCAAAGAACATTGTGTTCCTTAATTTGAGTTGGTCCCAACAACATTGCAGCTTTTCATAGTGGCTTGATAATTGCTTAATTTTCTTCTGTGAAAGGTTTGTTAATCATTAAGTTGGCTTCGCATGGGAACCCATAGAGATATAAACAATCTCTTTCCCTCTGCCTGTTGCCATATAGCTGCAATCTGTGACTCCTTTTCCCCTGCAGTAACACACCTGTTAAAATAGACTTTATATTGGCTGGAGGAGATGGTCCTGATGACAAATGGAGAGATTAGAAAGGTCTCGCAAAGGTTGGTGTTGTAATGACTTGTGCTGGGGCACGGTGCCAGGGACAGGGCATTCACCCTGTGTCGACGTGGTCGCCACCGTCCGCAGAAGACGTTTCAGAAGTGGAATATGAAGGGGAAGAGCTTCGTAATACGTAGACATCACAGAAAGTATCCTGTTCTCTAGCCAGCTGCAAGTGCTTCACCTCTGAGTGAAGCTGGAAATAAGCAGTTCTGTTCCTGATGGGCTCCTCAGAAACGCTGAGAACAAAGCTGCTCTGGCAAGCTTTGCATTGGGATTTGGGATATGTCTTGCCTTGGGTGCATCTCTGCACAGATGTGTTTTGTTCTTTGTCTCCCTTTCAAAGGGCTTTTCTAGGTGCCAAGACTGACCCCCATCTGGGCTCCAACTTAGGGACTGTGCTGTTGGTCAGCCTAGTCCCTTGAGCCTGTTTCTCGTATCATTGCCAACTATAAAGTCCTGTAACTGGACAAAGCCTACCAAGTGCCCAGTTTGGGAGAATAGTATCTCATAATTCTGGAAAAGGAGTTGATATAGAGCACGTGGTACTAAAAAACACACTGAGATACCAGTGTTTTGCATCTCCCTGGCTGATCTGGTTGAGAAGCTGTTGCTTTGTTGGGATTGTCTTCAGCGAAGACTTGTACCATTCCTGACGTGTTTTTCTCTCCCATAGCTCGGAGCAAACAGTGGTGTCCATATCATCATTTTTGATGAGATTGATGCAATCTGCAAGCAGAGAGGGAGCATGGCAGGTAGCACCGGCGTCCACGATACCGTTGTAAACCAGTTGCTGTCGAAAATTGATGGAGTGGAGCAGCTCAATAACATCCTAGTCATCGGTACAGTGGTCCTGTTTGTCTTGTTATAGGGTCTGGTGGAAAGCCAGTGATACTTTGCTCACTGCAGGTCACCTAAATGATCATTAGTGGTACTGAATATGTTTAGGCTTATCCAAATGAGCACTGTTTGACAAGCATCAGTCAGAGACTTAAAACAAAGTGTAAAATAGGTGGATATCATTGCTTTTATTTGAAGGGGGAGGGAGAAGTGTTTCATAGCTGAAAAAAATATGCAAGAAATTGTGTGTATAGGTGGGTCAGCATGTGAAGTCCCGGGGCTCCCCTGGCTCCTAGGAGCCCTGTGGAGGGCGTCTCACCCTGCTCAGATCTGGCAGCCTGTTCTCTGCGCTCAGTGCTGCACTGTGTGCTCAGTGTCTCCCTACTGAGATAACTGTTGCTCTAACACTTGGCATCTCGAGCATTGCCTCTGACAGCAGCTGCTCAATTAAATGCTCCAAGTGTGGTTATGCACTACAGCCTTACTCTGCGTGGCCTGAGCTTTGCTTTCTCTGTCCCGTGGAGCGGGTGACTCTTGGTGCACAGCTCTTGCCCTTCTTGTTAGCAATAGGCAGGACTTGAAGAAGGAGACAATCTGCTGTGATCCCTGCCATAGTCATGACTCTTAAAGCCATGGAAGTCTCTGTGCTTAAACTGTGTTTTGATCCCTGCTGCTGACACTTTACTTTAGTGCATGACACTCCAAGCATTTCTGGAGATGCCATCTTCTCTCCTGATTTCTACTGAGACTTTCTGAGTCTCTCCTTAAATTTATGGGTTGTATTTGGGAGCTCTTTGTAAGCTTGTTTGTAGACTTGGCTAATGCTTATTTTGGTTTCAACTTTATGTGTAGGAATGACCAACAGACCTGACCTAATTGATGAAGCTCTGTTGAGACCAGGGAGACTGGAAGTGAAAATGGAGATTGGTAAGAAGTCTAATGTATCTCAGTACGTAAACTCACGGGTAGTTAAAACAGCTGAATAGACATCTATCCTAGTGTGAACCATAAACCAGAACAGCAAGCTGCTAAACTTTATGCAGCTCCCTCTGTGATGTTTTATGGAAAATGCAGATCATTTTATTTGCATTAGGTGATTTTTCACTTCAGTAACTGCAACTGCTAAATAAATATTCTAGATCTTCTGAAATTGGTGTGTCTGAGTGACGTGCATCACTGGTTCAAAAAGCAGCCCAAAGAGCCTTCTTAGCCAGTTGCTCTAGTGAGCTGGAAAACATGAATATTCTTCAGTAGCATCTGAGAAGGATTTTAGTAATTGCACATAGCTGCCTGGCACCATTCCCAGATCTAATAATAGAATATCTGATAATGTAGGATTTAGTAAGAAATTAGGCCCGGATCAAATTAAATTCATGCCTGCAGGTGCAGATGTTTAGTTTAGAGGAACCTATAGAGCAGTTTCCTCTAATGCTGCACACACACATGCACATGTGCACACACACATCACAAAATGTGCTCTGAGCCAGGCACTGCGTAGTGCAAATATATATAAAAAAAAAAAATCAAACCGTAATGAACTCTATGAAAAGAGCAGTCAAGGCTAAGAGCATCGTTAACATCCTTGTCATTTCAATTACAGAGAAATAGATGAAAATGTCCAGATAACACTAAAAATCATACAGTATTTTACTGCAGAGGAAGGCAAAAGAGATTATAATTGTCTGTGCTGGTCTGAACTGTTGGGAAATTCTTGAAATCTGATCTCTTGGTTTAATCTTGAGAGCTCACTGGGGCCTTTTTCCTATCATTAAAGGGTAGCTTTACTCTTTCGAACAGCCAGAACAGCAAAGAGTTTTTGAGATAACTGAAAAAGGAAAATTTGGGGCAAAAACAGGAATGAGGAAGTGAGGCTGATGGCTGCTGAAACAGCCACGGAGATAACCCAGGTACTGAGAACTGATAATTCTAAAGCCACGGTAGAATATTATAGGAAACTCTTTATATCAGGCTGTATTATGTACAAGTAGCTCATGGAAAATGGAAGGACAAGAGATGCAACTGAAGCACTAGCTGTGATTTAAAAACATGTAGAGCACAGACAACATGAATAGTTTCAAATATGCAGGAGACTATGGAATCAAGACATTCTTGTAGATGAACTAGTAATATAAGAAGAGACTTGTGCCTCTTCCAGAAAGAAAATAGGATAAATAAGTGTATAACTGTGCCTAGAGAAATAATAGAGGTCAGGCAGATAGGCAGTAATGAGAAGGGATTAGCAGTGACAAATATTAGCCAGGCACAGTTTTTCCAAACTAACACAGCTTCAAGGAATTGAAGGAAACACTTGGAAGGGAGATGTGTTTTAGTGATCAAGAAGTGTAATCATGATGACCAATCTGAATAATCTTACACTAGAAAACAGACGCCTGGAAGCAGGCATTACTGCTATCCTGGGGGAGTGTTACGCTATTGCAGGTGTAAGACCTGCACCTTTAGTTGAAAATAAGGTAATTAAAAACATTACAGGTAAGGCAAGTCTTTATTTAGATCAATTCAACAGAACCTGATAAAGGCAGATAAAGGCTGTGAACATACGTTGGAAAGTGATGGGTTTTCTGCCAGACTGACTTGATATCCATTCTTTAAATAGAAGGATTTCCTTTCTCTTCCACTATATGCTTTTCAAAGGAGCTTGATAAAGTACAAGCTGGGAGATTATCATTTAAAAAAGGTTTACCTTTTACCTTGCTTTAAGAAAGGTTTCCTGGTCTGGGTATCTGCAAACAAGCTACTGGGAGTGGGACATCATGGAGGAAGCAAGCTGCAGCCAGCAGCACCTTGATTTGTGAACCCTGAAGAAGTTAAACTGCATCTTGTTTCTTTCTCTGGTTTGAGGGTGATGCTAGTTTGCAGAGAAACAGCCTTTGGGAGTGGGAAGAGGAGATGGTGCTGCAGGTGCAGTGCTGGGGCGCTTGTTGACCCATGTTCTGTTTAAAATCTCAGGTTTGCCGGACGAGAAGGGTCGATTTCAAATTCTTCATATCCACACGGTGCGGATGCGAGAACATCAGCTGCTGGCTGAAGATGTGGACATTGCAGAACTGGCGGTTGAGACTAAAAACTTCAGTGGTGCTGAACTGGAGGGTTTAGTTCGGGCTGCACAGTCAACTGCTATGAACAGACACATCAAGGTCAGTCCTACTGCTTCTCACTGGGGCAAAGAGGAGAAAATAGCTCTTTGTGGAGCCTTTCCTTGGGTGTTTACATCTCAGCATGGCTTAGGAGATGGTTTTCAAGTGAACACCGTGTTGTGACTGTGACCTACTTTCATCTCCTGACCTGGTGGTTCTTAGTGCCTCAGTGGCAATGGAAAATAATTGTCTCTGTGTGCTTTGTGAAAACTGAAAAACTGAGGAAACAAGAGTAGAAAGTGAAAATAGTCAATGATAGAGGGATATCAATGCTGGAGCCTCTCGATTGTGGACCCCCCTCAATTGTGCATCTCAATATATTGATAAATGTGTGGGAAATAGGGGAGGGGATTACAAGCTTGCAGCAATTTGTGGCCATAATGATGGAGGCAAACTGCTTAAGACATATGAAACAGTGAGTGGCTGAACGAGATGTAATCAGGGTACATAAATATACAAGGAGAAAGGAAATGTAAACATGTATGGGCAGTGGTAGGCACTGAACTGACTATTGCTCCAGGGCAAGTTCTTCAAGTTATACTAATTTTGAAATATTACAAACTTAAGCTTCATCAGCCAAAAAAAAAGGAAAAGGGAAAGTAAAGTAAATAAGGAAAGTAAATGCAACATTAGAAATTACTAACAGAGATGGAGTGAAAATGAGGCTTTGATTGTATCACGGATAAATTCCTGGTTTGTTTGCTTATTCATTACTCTCTGCCTTCCTGGGACAGCCATCTCAGAAAGAATACGGGAAAGGGTATGGTAGAACTAGGCTTTGGAAGGAATTAGGATGCTCAGAGGTAATGGAGAAGGTCAGAGCTGTTGGAGAGTGTTGGTAGGGTTAGACTAGGACTTCTCCTGGAAAAAATACGATAAAAGTGCATGAAAAGTCTGTAACATCACGAGTAGACTGAAATCAGTGAAAAGAAAATGACTGTTTTCTAAAACAAGAGCTTGGAGGACAGCAAGTGATAGCAGCTGGGCCAGGTTCAAATCAAAAAGCACATTGCATGAAGCAGTGTTTAAGGTATGGACACCATTGCTCCAAAATGTCATTGATGCTAAAAGCTACTGTGAGTTCAGAAAGCGCCGTACAACCCCTTCAAACAGGAACTGGCTTGGTGACAGTCTTGCTGTTCAGAGACATCTGTAGCGTTCTCAGTTTCCTCCCTTCTAGAAGATTGTCTTGGTTTCCTACTGTTTGCTGATTATTTGGTCAGGGTATCTTCAGCTGCAGAGCAGGACCATAAAATGTCATGTTATATTAATCCCAAATGTTGTATTTGACAGTGTTGAAATATGAGATAATTAGTTCATAAAGGCAGAGGCTGAAAGATGCAGCCCCTTCACTCTTGTGGCCAAGATTTGGTGTGAATTACTGCAGAGAAAAGCTTTCAACATCGAGACCAACAGCACTTGTGTGTTTCTCAGAAAAAGGCTGTTCAGCTTCAGATATGAAGAAAGGAAACCTCACTTCTATTTACATTTGGCTCCTTAAACCTTTGTGTGTAGCAGTGCCTCTGCTTAAAGGAAAAGCAGCTCCTGATTCTCTCCTTGCAACCATGATATTTGAAAAGCTATTATCTGGTTCTTATAATGGCAACATAAACACGTCAACAGTGTCTCTAATTCCTTGTTTTCCTCACTCAAAAAACCTTCCAGCACTTCCAGTTGTATTTTCATCCCTTCACAAACAAAGCATTTTTCTTAAATAATTAATTTTCATTATAGTTGATGTTTTTTCATTACTGTTAGTGTTTTGATAAGTTCCCTGTCGTGCCAAACTGTCGCAAGAGGGAGAAGAGAAAATGGCAATGCATAAATATAAAAAGACAGTCCCCTCCTTTTTTAAGTACGTGATCAACAACTTGGTAATATGCAGGCACCTTACAGTGTCAAGCAGGCACACTTTTCTTTCCAAAGACTTTGACATAGTAGTTTTGGATATTCTTATCATTTGTTGTGAAGTTGTTTGCAGTCAAATGATGCACTAAGATATTTCATTCTCTCCTGTAAGTGCTGCAGAACTTAAAATATACATCATAAGCCTGACCTAGTTTTCAGAAGCACCTACGTGAAGCAAGAAGACAAAACACGTTTGAAAATCAAGTGGAATAACTCTGCATCATTTAAGCTCTGCTGGTAATCTCTCAAAGTGTGGGTTAAAAAATACGGTGGGTAATTTTTAAAGGCTACATACAATAAAAAGAAAGGCTTGTGGTTCTAAACGTGTGAGCACCTTCAGGAATATATTAGCTATGTGCTTCGAGTACCTTCACTTCCCTCCACGTGGTAGCAAAATAAGCAACCTGCCCTAAGGATCCATTAGTTGGATATATTTGGCACAATGTGAATTTCCACGCCAAAGTGATATCCTTATTCTTGTGGATCATTCTGGTCAAAAGAGAACATCTTTGAGAAGCATCTCTGAGATCAACTGTCATTTGGCTTGTCTGTCCCTCTGGTCTTTGACCAGTGTTATAGAGATCCTGCAGAACTTCCTCAGTGCTCTGACACCAGAAGCCCTCTTCCTTCACTTCATCTTTTATGGGAATTCCTTCTCACAGGTGCCAATATACTCATTCCCTAATTAGGGTTTCTTCCAAGAAACTCCATACTCATTCCCTAATTAGAGTTTCTTCCAAGAAACTCCATGAAATCCCAAATTTTCATGTCTTGAGCTCATGTAGGGCTACCGAACTAGCACGCAGAAGCGTGTGGTATTGTTAGACGACATTAAATTCCAAAGAAAATTCTACTTGTTTTGGAAACTGGAGAAACATTGTATGGAATAAAAGGCTTTCAGGGCAATGAAGATACTTGCACATCTACAACTAGTCTGAGCAAGTGCAGCTGTCCCACATTGCAGAGCTGCAGCCGTATTCAGTAAGGCAGCTGACCAGAAGTCTACAACTGCAAAGGTTTTTTCAAGATGTTTTCAAGAATTTGGAGTTCTGGGTTTTGGTTGTGTTTTTTTTTTTTTTTGGCTCCATTATGAGCAGTTTTCTGCTGTCTCCCAGCAGCACCTCCAGTTGTGGTTGAGGGACACTTTTGGGAGAAGATTGCTCTGGTGTTGGCAGTATGTTTCCTCCCAGTCATTAGCTTTTAGATGTTGCTGGGTGGTTTGGCTGTGGCAGGAGGGAAAAAAGGTGACATGTCTCGTTTGTAAAGGAGAGCAATTAGAGCTGAGCTAACTGCTACTTATTTAAGCAATACTGATAGTGCCACTTCAGGAAGACGTGTGGATGTGATCAATCTGAAGCAAATAAAGGCTAAGCAGAAAGAAATCTAGTATTTGCCAATCCCCTGAAAGATTGTTCTTGGAGGAAGTAGTAGGGCATGAATAGCAGTCTCAGATCTCCTGAGACAGGACTGTGTGAATAGCTTTTATTTTTGGCTCAGTTGCCAAAGATGGAGCAGGACAATTTGGAGTTGGGCTGAAACAAACTTTATCTTTCTGTGAAAAGTCATATGGAAAACCAGAGTGCATAATAAAGAGTGTTTCTACAATTTATCGTTCTCCATCGAAACCTGCATAAGTCCAGTAAACTTTAGAAATCCAAATTTAGGTGAGTGAGATAATCCTGTACTGGGCTCCAGTTTCTGCCTCACTAACAAAAGAAACTTGGTTTATTTAGGCAAGTCAAGGTAGAGCAGCATCAATAGAGCTAGTTGAGAGCTTCCATCCTGCTCTCAGCTGGGCTGGCTGCTCTGAAAAGTAGAGTTGTGGACACACTCTTGAACTTGACTTTGAGTGCAGCAGCTGATATTTACTGGCTTGATGGGTGCCAGAGCAAGGTTCTCTGAAGATGGTGCTCCAGTGGTACCCAAACATGTGTGTTAACGAGGGTCTTGTTAAGAACCATTCTTTTGTATTCAGGCAGACCAAGCATGGAGCTGAGTCCTTGCTTGGAACTTGGCAAGGGATCTTGTGCTGTGGTGCTGTACTTCACCATATCTTCTTGCCTTTTCTAGGCCAGCAACAAAGTGGAAGTGGACATGGAGAAGGCAGAAAGCTTGCGGGTCACAAGAGGAGACTTCTTTGCGTCCTTGGAGAATGATATCAAACCAGTGAGTAGGACCTGGATAATTCCTGTAGCAAAGTTGGGCCATACAGCACAGCCAGTGACATGAGCCAGCACCTTCTTTGTTGATATGATAGAAAATTCCTGAGTGAATGAATGTCTCCTCTCTTAAAACACAGGCATTTGGAACCAACCAGGAAGACTATGCAAGTTATATCATGAACGGTATTATTAAGTGGGGTGATCCTGTAACACGAGTGCTGGATGATGGGGAGCTGCTTGTTCAACAAACTAAGAACAGTGACCGTACTCCGCTGGTTAGCGTCCTTCTAGAAGGTAAACTGAGGAAGACAGTGCATTTTAAACTACAGCTCATGTTTATGAACTGTTCCTATCAGTTACCCCAAGCGGTGACCTGTTCTATCCTCTAACTGCATGCAAGAGTAATATATGAGAGGAAAAATAGAATGAGTCCCTGTCAGTATTCCTGAGGGAAATTAGTTAACTCGTGCCCTCTGCAAGTAGAGGGAAAAAAGTCGTTTGAAAGAGCAGGTCCCTGTGAATGGGATTATAAGTGTGTTTAGAGCATCCTGTACACGGAGCCTTACCAGACCTGCTTTCTCATTTGTTTATTCATTGTGCTTGTCCTTTGCTCCAGGTCCCCCACACAGTGGGAAAACTGCCCTAGCAGCAAAGATAGCGGAAGAATCCAACTTTCCCTTTATCAAAATCTGTTCTCCTGATAAGATGATTGGATTTTCTGAAACAGCCAAGTGCCAAGCTATGAAAAAGGTACTGAAGCATCCTACTGTTTTCTTTGGTTACAGTCCAATTCTATGCTCCCTAGTAGACTGAAAAGGGAATTTCCCTTGTGGCTGTGCTTTCTGCTGTCAGTAGGTCCTAAGTTCACATATACTCATTTATTTATAACGTTGAGTGAATATTGTCATAGCACTGATACTGTGTGGGAGTCTTATGATGCTTAATTTCTTTAGGAAATGTGAAGTCTGCACCTAGCCATGAGCTCTAGAAAAGAACATTTCCAGGCCTTGCCCAGTAGAATTAGATGTATAATTGGTACCGTCAGGGGGACAAAACACCCGCTCTGTAGTTAGCAAGTTTGGGCCTCTCTCTACAAAGATGAAGGTAGAAAGGACTTAGATTTGCGCTTGACATGATCAGATCTTACCTGAATGAAACTGGAATGAGTTTTGAGGTGGTAACAGTTAGTTAAACAGAAGAGTCAAGAGGGAAAAAAAAAAAAGCATTTAAAAAAATAAATTCTTAAAACTTCTTAAATCATTTCAAGTAGTCAGCTGAAAGGAGAGCTTGAGCGTCATTTCCGGAAGCAAGCCAACACTTATGTTCTCTTTATAGCTGAATTACACTGACTTAGGCATGTGAACAAAATATGTTATCCTAAAAACAAAGGGATAATTCACTGCAAGACTGCATAGCTTCCAAGAATAGCCATGTGCTCATAGCTGGAAGCCCCATTTGTCATTGAGATTCATAAAGGAGCCTTTTGGACTTGCTTGAATTCAGGGCACACTGGAGGTGGGCCTGCAATACCACTGCAGCCTTAGTGCTGCTCTTCAAACCCAAGGGTTTGCAGGGCACTGCTTTGCTGCTCTATAAAGGATGATACGGAGGCTTAATCAATACCTGAGTAAGTCTATTTTCCCTCTGGCCTGGTGTTACAAAGAATAACTAACTTGGTTATAAATCTTTTTAGCTGCATTGAAATTGTGGCTTTGTTGTGTCTGTGTTATAGCCCCAGCTCCTGAAAACTGAGAGATGTTGCTCCATTTGGCTGTCCTTGCAATTAAGCAATTAAGCACAGAAGTAGATGTTTTTTTCAGTGTGTTGTGTAAAGAACAAAATGGAGCTCTGAATTTGAGATGTTTTATTAAATGTGGGTGGAGTCTACTTGCATGGTGCTATTTCCTTCTTAGTTTATTTTTCTGACTACTTCTGAGTTTAGTTAAATGAGTCAACAAGTCTTTATCACGACTAATGTGGTTTTATTTCTGAGATTTAACAATGAGACGTGTTGCTCTTTTCTAGATCTTTGATGATGCCTACAAATCACAGCTCAGCTGTGTCGTGGTGGATGACATTGAGAGACTTCTAGGTGAGTCAAGATGACTAGAGCTGTGTTGGCTGCACAGTAGTATCGCCAACCAGAAATGGTATGGAAGCACTTATCACAGAAACCTTGAGCTGCTTTCTGATGCAGCTGTGGCTTAAAGATTTGTCATTTTAAAGGGCATTAAAATACATTTTTCCATTTCAGATTATGTCCCAATTGGACCACGCTTTTCTAATCTGGTGTTGCAAGCCCTTCTGGTACTGCTAAAGAAGGCTCCCCCTCAGGTAAGATGGTAGTTGAGGAGCAAGATGCTGTATTCTTAAAATAACTGTGATATTGGAGGGCTTTGTGGCTTGATGACAACGGTGTTAGAACTATTGCCTCTGTTTCAGCCAGGTTAATCATAGGCTGCTCCTGAAGTTTGTGCTCAATGGGATGAACAGGGAGGGACCCTTCTGCATTTTTAATGTAGTTCATTGGAAATCTCTTGTCTTTGGAAGTGTCTTCATGAATAAAAACCAAACCAACTGGAAAAGCTTGAAGGTTGGTGTCAGGAAAAAGTGAGAAGCATGGCTTGGATGAACTCAGTTCTTCAAATCTCTTGAAAAATGGAGTAGCGTATGCATGGGAATTGTTCTTGTTAGAAAATTAGGTGGAGAGATCCCTCAATTCTAGAACTTTGAACTGACGTGTAATGTCACAGGCCATACCGTTCCTCTTGTGCCCATCTTCTGTCAGATAAGAACAGGGAGATTGGCAGTATCCGCACAACCATTTTAGATAGTTGTAATCTCATGTAATCATTGATTTAATGCTGGATAGTTCCACAGTATCAGCAAATGATTGCACCCATAAAACAAGAGTGGAAATTGATAATTTGTTTCAGTAGTCCAAAGAACTTAATATCAGAAGTTGTTCGTTTTTTCACTGCATCCTCCAAGATTATGTTGCACTTTTGTTGGCACCCGTGTCTCTGTGAAAGCAGAATGGAGAACGTGAAGCACTCAGATATTTGCCAAGTTTATGCATGTTTCTAGAGATTCATACTTTGCAATGTTTGAAATGCCCCTGAGGCTGGAAACTTGGGTTGACAGCCAGTATTATGGTGACTTAAGCTATAAATTGTTGGAAGGTAGAGAGGGAGTTTTCTTGGGAAATGTCACTGTTTGATTGATGTTAACTTTTTTTTTTTTTGGCTAGATGTCCACTATCAGCTACTGTAGAAATGAGGACACTGGGTTAGGTGGACCCTTTGATCTGACATGGCTGGGAAATTTGGGAGATGGGTTCTTGCAGACTGGCATATTTGTTTCTTATCCACTCCTGTGACAAGCAGGACATACGGGGTTTTTTCTCATTAAAAACAAAACAAAAATGTATACAGGTAGAAAATTCATTTAAAAAAAAAAAAAAAAAAAGCCAGAGCTTTTCTACTGTGAACCTTTAGCCTGAAAGAGATTGAATTTGGCATGAAGACTCATAGAGTTTTAAGCTAAAGTTACAAACTCAGGAGGAAGATAGAGTTGCTGGTTAATCCTTGCTTTTCCATGTTCCTGTGAGATCACTAGTTTCCTTGGGGATTTTTTTTTTAAATGATTGATTCCAGTTTTGATTGTAAGTCGAGGTGCAAATACGGACTTTAAATGACCTCGGGTAGCATTGGTGCTACTTCCCTGCTGCATGAGCTCAGAGGGACGTGAAATCTCCTCCGGACTGAGGTCATGGTTCAAGTTCATTCCTTGTAAAACTGGAAAGTCCTGAATCCTGAGTCCCCTCAGTGGGACACACGTCCAAGTGCTGAGAAAACTTGTTGTCAAGCCACTGAGGAGACAATAGCTGTTTTTGGTTGCTGTTAGTTAGTATATTTAGGCTAACAGGAGCCTAAGTGTGAACGACGCAGGCAATTGGAAAGGTTTCCAATGGGAATCATGAAGCAGCTGAAGGTGCGGGCAAGGAGGGGGAGGGAAGCGGCGCGTGCGAGCCCGGCGTGTCCATCCCCGCGAGCCCGGCGTGTCCGTCCCCGCGGCCCCACACGCGGCGTAACGGCCCTTCCACAGGATCCCGCGTGGCCTGCGCTTCCTGGGGGCGGCTGCGCAGGAGGAGCCCTCGCAGCATCACAGGTTATTAATTATGCATTGAGCTCCATGTCTGCGCTAAATTGGCTCGTTAAAACTGCCTTCCGCACTCCCCGTCTCCCTGTCACGGCTGTGTTGCTTTAATTTGCTGTGGGAAGCGCGGATGCTGCAAGCTCCTGTTTCCTGGGCTTTCTGCCGTGTTTGTACATTTGCAGGAGTTTGGGGAGTAAACACGGAAGACTTTAAAGAAACAAGGCACATCCCTGAATTTGCTTTAAATTCCCAGTCACAGCTCCTGATTCCGAGTTCCTCGGAGCGAGGCTTGAATAGTGGTATCTATTACTAGGGCAAGAAGACTGAAAAACATTGTGTTTTGTTTAGCATCTTAAAAAAAAAAATTAAAAAAGCTTCTCTAAAATGGCTTGAAGAGAAGAAAATAAACCATGTGCTCTTAGAGTCTTTATTTCAATCAAGTTTCCCTGTGTTGTGCAGGAGAAGAGACTGGGGGGGTGGAATAGAAAGAGTGAAAAGGGCTGTCGCAGCGGGGAGCCAAGCGGGAGAAAAGGACTTCTCTGAGAACTAAGCAGCAGCAGCTCCGAAAGGCGAAGCTGCTTCATCTACATGCAGAGTCACACAAGGCCTGGGGACGCTCACCAGCCCCGCAGAGGTTTCACATGTGCTTCCCTGCTGCTTCCCGTGAAAAGCTAACAATCGGCTCAAAGGGTGAAAGCCCATGGCGGCATCCCCGCGCTAAGCTGGACGTACAATTTGTGCAGGGCTATGCAATGTCTGGCTTAGCGCGATGCTCCCCGGTGCTCGCGGGGATGCCCTTCCAGTGCTCCCGGAGGCCCCCAGCCCCTCTGCTCCCCGGGACGCTGGAGGCATTTGCTGATTTTGTGAAAGTTGATGGGGGGGAAAGCGGGAATAAGCTCCTTGTTTGCTATAATCCCACAGGCATTCCTGATTCCCCTTGACTTGGTGTGAAACAGGAGCGGCCCCAGGCAGCAGAGACCTTAGGTTTACACCTGTAGCACTGGCGAGCTGCATTTTTTTCCCCCTACACAAGAATTACACAAATCTCCTACAAAACAACACAGCATTGTTGTTGCTCCCCCAAAGTCTGCTTAAAAATTCGTAAGGGACCAGAGTTGAGTGAACAGCCCTTGGGCAGCCAACGAAGGCGCTTCCATCGTGCTTGGAGCTTCCCGCACCGGGGCCTGGGCCGTTGTTCTGAATTCAGGCAATCCGGGACTGCGCTCGCATGTTGAGACTCCGCTGGTGTGCAGCAGAGCCTGTGTAATTCTTATATGATCCATATGGTACGTGCTTTGGGTAGTCATGGCAATAATGTGGTGCCCATCAGGAGGTGGATATTGTGTTAGAATCAATCTAGAAATGCTTCAAAAGTAGTAAAGGCACCTTTTTCTTTTGATCTTTGAATCTTTGCTTGTTTATATCCAGGATTCAGATAAAATCCATGCAGCAGGCAGAGTTGGAGCCTAGGGTTACCTCGAGAAGACAAGGGGGCAAAGTACCCACTGCTCTACCTGGCTATCTCCCCATGAGCATAGGAAGAGCTTGGGCTCCTAATTGGGATACTTTAATCGCCTCAAAATGGGCAGGATGAATCCAGACTTAAGTGGCGTGTCTGTATCTAATCCTTGTTGATGACAGAACCAGTTCTGAGACTGCCACGATGGATGTGAAGCTACGTCATCCAAAGCTGCTGAAGGTCCATGTTACATGACTCATTGGTAACGGTGATTTTTGGACATTCAGCTCAAATCTTGGACCTTCTACAGGCTGAACACATAGGGCACGTTGCCCTTGCAGCGACTGCTATAGAAAGTAGGGGTGAAAAATGTGAGGTTTTCTGAAGATGGAGATACTTCCACAGACTATCTGGTGGGGAGGATGAGTCCATCTGTGTCTGTGTGATGCTGCAGAGTAGTTGGACGGGCTCAGGTTTCCTAGCGTGGTTTGATGGATTTTCATGCCTTTGTGGTACAGCAAAACATTTCTGATTTGTAGGTTTTCCAGTTTTTTACTGAATGAATTGTCTGAAACTACTAAAATACAGAAGATTCCTAATATGTTTTAGAACCATAGAGTCCTTAAGGTTGGAAGGGATCTTTACAGATCACCTAGTCCAACCCCCCTGCTCATGCAGGGTCACCCAGAGCACGTGGGCCAGGCTGCGTCCAACCAGATTGGGAAGATCTCTGGAGAAGGAGACTCCACAACCTCTCTTGGCAACCTGTTCCAGTGCTTTTCGTTTTCTTTTAGTAATTGATACAGTAGGGATTACGCTTATATTGTGGTAACTGATTTTCCAGTGGATGCAGGTTAAAGTGGGTTGAAGGGCATAGTTTGTTTTGAAAAAAATAGGGAAGAACCCATTCATTTTGGGTGCAGCACATAAAATATTTAGGCAGTGTTTTCCAATGTAACCATCTGCTCTGATGAGTTTTCTGACTTTAAGTCATCAATTGTTTGGCATCTTGAGCGTGGATCCAAAGCATCATTTCTAAAAGTTCTTGATGGACCTGTCGTCTGCTAACTTGTCCTGTTAACTTTGAACCTTGGTCAGATTTTGTCATTCTTGGCGTTGTGCTGTGTGAGCTCAGCTCAACTTTGTGTGAAGGCCTGCGTCCTTTGCTTTGGTTTAAACCGGATGCTTGGCAATTTCATGTCTTACCTTGTGGTTTTTATTCTGAGAAAAAGCATTTCCAATATGCTTCTACACGAAGCAATGTATGGACTTTATAGATAATAGACAATTTAAAGACTTCTCTGATACCCCCAACCCATTTGCCAAGAGTCTATTTGGGGAAATCAGTCCATAGTTCTCACTGTCCCTGTTGCTGTCCTCTGCTTCCTTTAGAGGAATCTTGTATTCAAAATTGTACTTGCAATTGCTAGGATTGCACAGCATCTTCGAAAAAGCACCCTGCATTCATGCAGCAGAACAACATCTTCTGTTTTACTCTTTTCCCAAGTCTAAAAATATCTAAATTGCTTGTTTTGCACAACGCTCAGCGCTAAGCTGGTATTTTCAGAGGACTTGCTACAGTGACCGACTCTCATGGCTTGCTTACATGGTAATAACTCATTTTGGAGTCATCTTTATGATAATAACTCATTTTGGAGTCATCTTTGTGGGTACGGTAATTGTCTGCTGGCCTCATTTACAGCAGATTTTGGGTTCATCTGACCAAGTGTGGCTGCCAGCAGTTCGGTTGCCTGAAACTAGTGTGGTTGTGCAGAATGTAGTTGGTTGTGGGAGTGCAGAGTGGAGGCAGCTTCTTTGGGAGGAGGCAACTGGCCTAGTGTGGTAGAAGTTTATCAGACTTGTGCTTGTGGGACAGGGGTGGTACATGGGATTTGGAGATCTTGGTTGTCTTTGACGTCCTTCAATCTCCTTATCCCTATAAGAAGAAAGCTTGTTTTCTCCTTATGAGATTGTAATTTTAACTGAGTTGTTAGAGCATATACAGTATCAGATATAGGGATAATACTGATACTTTGAACAAAATCACACTGATGACTGCATATTGGGAAATAAAGGACAACCAAAAAGCATTGTAGGTCAGGATGCAGATGAAACTGCCTCCATCAAGTCTGCTGATGGTCTCCATCTCTGTCTTCCTCATGTGGAAGACCTTAAGCAGGCCCCAGTTTTGCCATAGAATCATCATGGTTGGAAAAGACCTTCCAGGTCAGCAAGGCCAACTGTATTCTGCAAGCTGCTAGCCCAGCAGCGTCTTAGCGAGTTGGGTGGTAGCTCGAGGGCGAATGTCAGTGGTGCTCTGGAGGATCTGCACTTTTGTGGTTTGTGGCAGCTGAGGCTCTTTGGAGGATTGATTTCCCAATAATTCCAAGCCTACGTTAAACCTGTGTTTTAGCCAGAGTTGAAGACAACTGAAGTTCTGTGTTTGGGTAGGCAAAAAGTCTATCTATTGTTGAGCATCATTTATTTTTTTCAGTCAGTTAGTGCTTTAGCTGAACCCAAGCACTTGATGGAACTTTCCTGCCCTTGATTTTTTTTTTTTTCTTGTTAAATTTCCCTCTGGGTTTCTTGGGAAGCCCCCTCAAGGAGAGCCGATCTCCTGCGCATGGTGCCTCCTGGGCAGCAGACAGTGATTAATGCCCAGAAGTGTTAGCCAGGGTTGTCCTGGCTATGCCCCTGAGGGAGGCTCATGGCCTGGGGTGCGCTTGGGTTCAGCTTGCTGGACAGAACTTCCTTGGGCTCTCTTAGGCTAAAAATAAACCCGAAGCAAGTCTGGTGCCTTCTCATCGGTCATCACTCAGAGCAGGAATGGAGCATACTCCAGTATAAAGTCAGCAAATCAACAACAACCAGGGGAAAAAACATACGTGGGATTGTGAAGATGCATCATCTTCATCAGAAGTGTGTTATGTTTAAGGAGGTTTTCATTCTTCATTAGAGGAATGCAAAGCATTCATAAAATGAATTCTGCCTGCCCCGTGGGGAAGGGTTTTGTGGTTTTCGGGGATGCATTGAGGTTTTGTGTTGCAAAGGCTGAGTCTAGAACTTTGTTCTTTGAGCATCAGCAAGACTCCTGTACAGCAAATAAGGAGGATCCTGGGTCAGCCAGAGACCTCCTAAACCTGATCCTTCCACATATGTCAGGCAACCTTTTTCTAAAAGGAGAGTGTTATTGTGAGAAATCCGCTGTAAGGTAGCTTTTGGAGTGGTTTATGCTTTTAAATCTAATAATGCTTCAATTTGTAATAGTGAATTTAGTGGAAAAGAGAGGTTAGGAAAGCAGTGAGTACAGGTGGGTCTCTTGTGTACCATAGTTTTTGGTCCCTTTGCTATTATTCTGACTTCTGCCATCTGGTTCTAGTCTTGCATGCTTACTGTTAATGCTCATTTCACTTAATTTTGTTTTTTAGTGGTCATTTTCTCTGTAGCTAGCTGGAGCTTCCCAAGTCTGGTTCGGCTCACTCTGTTCTTCCTTTCCTGACACTTTCTCTGTTGTGTGGGCAGGGCCGCAAGCTTCTCATCATTGGAACCACCAGTCGCAAGGATGTCCTGCAGGAAATGGAAATGCTGAACGCCTTCAGTACCACTATTCATGTGCCAAACATTGCAACAGGAGAGCAGCTGATGGAGGCGTTGGAGGTGAGGAAAAGTTAAGGAATGAAGAAACTGCTCGAAAATTACTGAAAATGAATGATTTTGACCTAACAGCAATTGTGAGGCTTTCCCTGCATTATTTTGTGATCTGATGAATTAAGGGAAAACAAGATCTAGGCAAAAAGTTCAGGGAGTGGATTGAAAAGTTCAGAGGGCATGGAAGTGGGTAAAGTTATATAATTGGGACACTTAAACTGAAATGTGCCCGGAGGGTGCTGAGCGCTCATTAGCTGGAACAACATCAAATGGAAGTGCTTGGTGGGATTATAGGTTCTTTATAAATGGAGGCTCCCAAGGCTTCTTATGCTGTGCCGTGTTGGAATTTGTAGCACGTATGAACAATTTTTAAGATAAATTTAACAGGCAGAACCTTGCAGTGTTGTCACAATGGTAAAAAACACAAAAGCCTGAAAGATTTTACAGCTTTTGCGACAGGTTTGAAAATGAGTTGTAGCATAAGCCACTGTGTTCCTTTTGGACTTCAATCTGGAGAAAACCTAGAATGGGTCGTAAGACTGAGTGAGCAAGTAACTGTTTAGAAATGCTATGAAAAGAAACATCATGCAGTTAAAGAGTCTTGTAAGTATTTTGCCTCGTTTGGGTATCTTACAACAAATAGTTGTCTTTCCAAGCTAGAAAACGAGCTTCTCATTTTCTTGGCCTTGGGTTAGGTAGCATTTCTCCTATGGACAGTCCCTTGATATTTTTCTTTTCTGTATCTCCTGCAGCTCCTGGGTAACTTCAAAGACAAGGAACGCAGCACCATTGCCCAGAATGTCAAAGGGAGATCCGTCTGGATTGGTATCAAGAAGCTGCTGATGCTCATAGAAATGTCATTACAAGTAAGAACTTTTCTGGTCCAAGAAGGACTGGGGCTCATAGAAGACACTCAGAGGCTCCCACTTGTCTGCAGACTCTTAGTTTGACTGTGTTGTGGAAGCCTTTGAATAGATTTAACTGACAAAAAAAAAAAAAAAAGGAAGAAGTTTTCCAAACAAAGAAATTGCCAGGTCTTGGTCTGTGGAGAGCTCTTTACAAACCACAGTGCCTATGGGCTGTTTAGAGCTGCACTTCAGAGAAGGGCGTCTGGCAGCCAGAGAGATTGGATTACCTTACCTTCAGTGAAACTTCTGCTCTGCACACAGCATGTTAAGATTGCAGATAGTGATCATTTAGGGTGTTTTTTTTTTTCTGAAGAAAAAGGTACCTGCGCAGGTGTATGTGCTCTTTCCCTCCAGAAGATAAATCTGTCAGGCTGTTCAGCTGCTCCTCTCTTTATTTTCCACTTTCAGCACTTGAAAGAAAATAATTGCAGCGGGTGGAAATATGTGGCCGTGGGCCGTTCCCGGCCGTGCCTGCGAGGCAGCCGCCAGCGAGCAGGAGGTGCAGGCGGGCAGGGAGCGCGCCGCAGCGGCCGCCCTAATCCGCGCCTGACATCGCGGCGCCCTCCCGAGCTCCCCCTCCACGCACGCTCTCCTTTCACATCAAATGGGTTTAGTGCAGCTGAGTGAACTGTCCTTAGATCTTCCTAGGAGAGGCTGGGCATAAGCTAAGAGGCATGTAGTTTAGCAGCATATAAGTCATGTATCCCTCTGTTCACTATTCACAATTCTGTTAAAACTTGCACAGGACTAAGGATATGCTCTGACTGGATGTCACCTCGGGGAATAAAGTCATTTATCTAGATTACTTTTCCTCTTCTTCCTTGGCTTTTAATTCCATACCTACAGGCAAGTCAGTAAGTCAGTGCTCACACGTATTAAATGTATTTAAAGGGTGCAGGCCCTTCGGGGACTGCCGGGCTCAGTCGCAGTCCATTTCACTTAGCCTCGGCAATGGATTCCTTCTTCACATACAGGACATTTTCTTTTACTGCTTTGACCCAAAGTATTAACTATTCATTCTTTTCCAAGCTGAAGGTGAGGACCATGTAAATTGGGGGCAGTTGTGAATTTTGATCATGATACATAGCCCAGATTTGGGTTCACAGTGTTGTCCCTTGGTTTCACACTTATAATGCCCTAGCTAGGGGATCTTCATGCATGCAGCCCCGATGCTGTTCTGGGCTATCTACAAACTTGTGCATTTTCTTTAACCAAAACCAACTGGTTTTTAAGCAATACATAGCTGATCAAACTGAGAGAAGAGAGGCAGTGCTCTGGCTTGGTTCATGCCATTTCCTGCCAGTTGGAGAAGCACAAAATGAAGGATTGCTGCTGCTAATATTGTAAACACCTCTCTGAGCTACTGTATATGGATGGTTGGTAGCAATGCACCTTATGTGTTATTACACTGAATATGTGGAATTGCAGAATAGTTGGGGTTAGAAGGGACCTCTGTTGCTCATCTGGTCCAACCCCAGCTACTCAAGCAGAGTCACCTAAAGCAGCTGCCACCGCACTGTGTTTAGTCAGGTTTTGAATAGCTTTAATGATGGAGGCTCTACAAGCCTTCTGGACAACCTGTTCTAATATGGAACCAATTGCACAGCAAAGAAGGGTTTTCTGGTGTTTAGATGGACTTTCCTGTCTTGCAGTATGTGTCCACTGCCTCTTATCCTGTGACTGGGCACCACTGAGAAGAGCCTGGCCCCATTGTTTTTACTCTCTCCCGTTTCTCTCCCATTGGATATTGATACACCTAGGTGGGATTAGCCCTGTGGAGCCTTCTCTTCTGGCTAAGCGGTCCCAACTGTCTCCGTGCGTGAGAGATCCTCCCGTCTCTTAATCATCTTTGTGGCCATTCACTAGACTTTCTCCAGAGGTATCTGGCTTTCCTGCCTCGAGGAATCCAGTTTTGGACAGTGTTCCAGGTGTGTGTCTCACCGGTGCTGAGCAGAGGGGAAGGATCCACCTCTAGCCTGCTGGCAATGCTCATCCTACTGCTGTCCTGGATGCTCTTGGCTACCTTTGCCCCAAGGGTGCCTTGGTGGCCCTTCTTCAACTCGGTGTCCCCCATGACTCCCAGGTCCTTCTCTGCATAGCTGTTTTCCAGCTGGTTGGTCTGCAGCATGTAGTGGTGCATCAGGTCTTTCCTCCCTGGGTGAAGGACTTGTCATTTCCCTTTTTCTGAGCCTTGTGAGGTTGCAAAAAGTGCAAAATCTATTTTTATTCTTGGTTTTTTTTTTTTTTTTTCCTCTCCGAACTGAACTAGAGCACAGCTTTCGAAAGGAGACTGGATCAGAAGTCTCAAATCCCTTAGGAATTTCAAGTGATGGATTTGTCTTTTAAAATTCAGGTGATTGGATTCCATAGTAAGCTAGTTTTTTGGAAAAAAAATGCACACCTGTCTAGGGAAGTCTTTTTCTCTATGGCAATGTTTTTAGGCTGATAAATCACTTTGTCTTAGAATAAGTCTTGCTGAACGAACCTCAGTAGCAAAATCAAAGTGGACACACTCATAATCTGCCATATCTAGAAAGAAGCTAGAAAGGCTGAGTTTAAAACTAAGTTTAATTACAGTACATGGACACCTCCCAGTATTATTAGGTGCCACTCCAGTTCACCCTTGCCTACAAAGCACCTCTGTCCTGGGATGCTGCTGGACTTAGGAGCCTCCTTGTTCCATAGCTGGCAGACTAGTTCTGTCTGCAGCTTCTTGCCTGCCTAGCTGGCTGATCTTGATTTGATTGTCTGGTCTCTCTCCTTGGGAAACTAAGCCAGACAACTTCCTGGGAAGCCCTTTTTTCATCTCTGCTATTTTCTGATCCGCTAGCTTTTGTTCAGCATAAATAAAGCTGTTAACCTTAGCTGCTGTGTGGGATGTCTTTTCATGTGCATGGGAAGTTAGTTTGAAAGATCATTGTGTAATATTTCTTTTTTTATCTTGAAGCAGTAACTTATGTTTAACTAAGACACTTGGGGGTTGATGGCAGGTTTACAGAAGTACTACCCTGCTCGTGGATATGTGGTCTTTCTGCTTTGGCATCTTGCACAAGATACTCTGGCTGCAGACAGATGCTGTTATGGTCTGTAGGATGTCTATGAGGGCAGATTGTGAACCAACTATTACAACTATAGCTGCTTGCATGCCTCCTAGCGAGGAGGCAGGATCTTTGACCTGGGAAATGGAATGCCAGCATTGGCAGCATTCATTGCAGCTGGTAGGCTCAGCACACATGTTTTAGCAATAAAAAGAAGAGAGGTCCTTTGTCTCAAATCCCTTTCTTCAATGTATGGAGAGATGGAGCAGAGGTAATGGTTTTTTGCTTCTACTTGGCTTTGGCAGGTTTGGTTTGCAGGCTTGCTGCATAATTTGAATTTTTGATCACTTTGGAACCTCGTGTCCAGGAGCTGCACTGGCAACTTCATCCAGCTCCCGACTCGGTCTCAAACTGCAGGTGGTGTCTGGTTCTCTGCTGTGACCTGCTCTTTGTGTGAGTCTTACTGAGAGCACTAAGACACGGAATATATGTGCTCTGTATGCTGAAAATCAGGTTCAGCTCAACGGTCTTTCCAGCTTCAGTATCATCTGACCTCGTTTGCTCTGTAGGACCTCTTGAAATAGGAGGAGGTTAGGATTTCCCTTAGTTCTGTAGAAATCTATCCAATATCCTGTCAACCATTTGATTAGGTCTCTGTGTTCCTACACTGTCCACAGATTTCTGAGATGATTGATTTTGACGTAATGCTCTGTCCCTCAGCCAGTTTCTTAGCACAGAACTCAAATCTGGTGCTAATGTGTTCCTTGGGGGGTCTTTAAACTCCTGCATCTGAATCCCTTCTGGCATCTAGGAAGAGGACATATTTCATGGTGGTTGTGTCATCAGAAGCAAGGAAGATTTAGGCCGTTGTGGCCAGCCATCTGCCTATCTTCTAGCTCAACAGATGGCTGTACTTCAAACTTCTCCCTAAGTATGTGATGGGTAGAGCAGACCCTTTTGGCCTAGCAGTTTAGCCGGGTTCATTCTACTGCACTGCCCTCTAATCTAGCTTGTGTGTCACTATAGGACACTCTACGTGGCCACCTGGCGTTGTGTTCACACCTTGACCAAGTACTAGCTGTTCCCAGCACATACAGAAATTCAGAAGAGAAGTCATCTCTGGTCTCCTGGGACATGGCATAACAGTTGCTTTTAGTACCTTTATATGAGCACTTCGAATACTAACTTAGGTGGTAAAGTAGCCTTATTTATTCCTTTATTTAGAGTGTGTAAGAGGGAAAGAACAGAGAGGAGAAATGGAGCGGGGGCTTGAACCCTCTCTGCTCCTGACTGTACAATTTATGCTCACCCAGCTATGGAAAGGGTCGGGGAGAATGAGGTGCAATGGGACTAGTTTGTGCAGATCCAGCCTAGAAGGGGCACTGTGGGATGATGCTAGTGTGAATTAAAGCAGAAATATTTGATAGAAACAATTGTATTTCTAAGCTGTCTTTCCTTGTGGCTCGGAGAACATACTGTGCTGGTGCCACTGAGCTTTGTGTTGTGCTGCAGTGTTGCGTCCACTGCGTTGGTTAGCTGTGGACTTGGACAAGCAGATTTGTCTCCGGCCAGATCAGAGCATGGCCACAGCAAACACGTGGGTTCTTCAAGCAAGCTTTGTGGCTGTGGCCTCCTTTTACTGTTGTGCTGTTTAGGAGATTGCACCACGTGTTAATGGAGATCTGTTTTGTCTGGTATATAGATGGATCCTGAGTATCGGGTGAAAAAATTCCTGGCTCTTCTGAGAGAAGAAGGAACGTAAGTATTTTTGTTGTAAAAGGTTGTTCAAAATTCTCTTCTGGAGTCGAGAAACAAAGCAGCAACTTCCCTCTGAGGGAAAATTGTCCTCCTGTACATGAAAACCTATACATCAAATCAGTTCTACTTATGATTTTTACAGGCGAGGGGTCCTGAAGACTTGTTGAGGACTGGCATGTCTGAGCTTTCTGCTTTCTTTATTTACTTTTAAAACATTAATGAGATATTGGACAACTTTGTTTAACTAAAGTGGATCAGAAGAGATTCCACTAGAGTTAAATAGCTATTTATCTAAAATCTGTTCTTCTTGTTTTTCTCCTGTGTGAGTAAAGGTTGTCCAGCTCTTTGCCCTGTAGGTATCACAGGGAATAGTTAGGCTCAGTCTTGACTGTGATACCTCCTAGAAGAAGTCCTTGTAATCCATGTATGGCAGCACTTAACCCTGGGGAAGTTGACGACACTGTCCATCTTGCTACATGTTAGTATTTAATGCTTTTATATGTGTGTGTTTTTCTGATGGCTTTGGCTTCCGTTGCAGGAGTTCCCTAGACTGAAGATGGACCAAGCACAAGATGGACAGCTGGAGAAGTGACCAATCTGGAGAATATGCACTAGGATCTTTACTCTTCTGTGTTCAACACACTGGACAAAGTGAAATGCTTCCCTGTTTCCAAGAACCCAATGTGGAATTTGCATGTTTAGTGCAATACAGTATCTTTATCCTTTGTCTTTACTATACTGATGTCACGTGGAAGTGTCTTCTAGAACACTGTGCTTCTGTCTCTGTGCAGGCAAGGCTATGTTCTCATTTGATTTTAGCATGGGAGAAATGTAAGTTTTGAAGCTACTGCTCACTTGTGTCCAGCATCCGGTTGCTATGATAGGAAAGAAAACGTGACTTCTGAGAAAATCTGATAGTCCTTGGGGAAGCCTTATTTAAAGTACTATTCTGTGTTATTCTGATCTGAAGAATACCTTCTTGTTCAGTTATGTTGTCATATGCCTCATTGAATTATAAAGTCAGGCAGATATCCTTAAAGACAGCGACCACGATAATCTAGAATTTTTTAGATGTTAGTACCTTTTTTATTTATTTAATACCCATTGTTGTGATCTTATGGGGAAGAGACTGGCTATTGGCATTAGTGATAGGAAAAAGGCAGAAAAATATGCTGATCAGAATAGAGAAAACTTTCAAATCCAGTATTTAAAGCTTCAGAAGTTGCTGTTAATTCAAAAACAGTTGAGAGATGCTGGTTCCAACCCGAAAGCTCTTCATGAGTGCAGTGTGGAAGGTAGTTTTGGCGTAAGCCAGGCTGATTATATTCCTTTTCTTTGCCATGTTACCAAAGGTTGAAATCCTCCTTTGAGAGAGGAAGCCAAGCTCTCAGGCACCCATGAGATGTACGTTGTTATGAGGTGTACGTTGCCACCGTTTTGCACTAAAGCACAGGAATGTATCAAACTTTGCTACATGGTCCTTGCCCAAGAGTCATCTCGCATCAAGGAGATGCTGCTGTCAATGACTGCATGAAGAAACTCCCCTCGGTTTCATTGACTCCACCTGTTTAATAAGGTTCATAGAACATACCTCAGTTTGGTGGGGCAAAAAATCAAAGCCATTTGAGATCTTAGTCAGTGTGGGTTCTGAAACTTGACTAGACACGCTGTAAGGACTAAGCAGCTTTATACTGAAAGAGATGTTCCTGCAGAGAGGAGGTTGCTTCACATTCTTTAGGTCTGAAGGTGAAGGTTCTCTAGTCCTTATTTTGCAGACTTAAAGCAATCAGAGTATTTTAACCACTCCACTCTGGTTCCTTTTCCTTTGGCAGTGCTGTTGTATTGTGATAACATTGCGAGTCCCAGTGGTTATTACTCCTTTTCATTTTGTGTATGATCTTGTGACTTTATTTGTCTTCTTCTTTCCTCTGCTCGTCCTAGTGACAACAGCACACGTTAACTTATTTTTCAGAGTAAATGATGTAAACCTTATTGTGTCTTTGTCCAGAGCTATATTGATGAATAAATATCTCATTCAATTGCACATTGATGGATTCAATAAAAAGCACAACTCCTTGTGGTGATCTGGGAGACAGCTGTGTTTGTGCAGGTGGTTGAGCAGATGTGTGTTTGGGGTGCTGCTGTGTGGCATGAGAAGGTAGCAAACTGCTTCCCAGGCTGTTGAAAGCTAGAAGGCTGCTAAGCTGTTTGAACCTGAGCAGGGGTAGCTTGAATGTAGATAGTCTAAGAAAGCTGGCTCAGAAGAGCTCTGGTCCACTCCATTGCAGAGTTTCTTGGACCCTGCAGTGCTGGGGAAGTTCAGAAGATGAGGGGAGATGATGCAGCACTCTCGGGAAGGCCAAAACCAACTGACTAGTGTAACATCCCACCCATTCCACTGTCTCCTGTGACTTTCTGTCCAGTTGGTTAACTGCAGCTGGGAGATGACAGGGGAATGACCCCTCTCAGCTCCTTTCTGTCATATTACCTCTAAGACACTGCACCTTGACAAGATCCGTTTTACATCACTATAAACAATAATGGACATTTTTTTTCCTCCCTTCTTTATCTTGTTGCTGCTTTTTACTGAACTTTACAGAAATGTAACTATCTTGTAAATAGAATTGTTGGCCAAAGTCAAGTGAGTTTGAATATGTTGGGTTCTGGGGTGGGTGGGGAAGCTGGTGGAATGATGGACAAGACATGCACAAGGCTTCCAAAGGAAAATATGCTGAAGAGTTTTGCTAGGCACAAAAACAGCTGCAGGGGCAGAGCTGCCAGTCACCCGGATTGCTCAGCCAAACATTACCTGTGTTTGCAGAGTGTTCAGGTGTCACTGCTGCCCTGCAGTAGGAGATGACACTGGCAGAAGTGTGTAGTGTGCAGCATGGTTGGGCTACAGGGAATAGAAAGTAAATTTAATTAATTTACCCTGCATCTGGCCTCATTTTAGGCCACTGTTGTGGGAAACTGTGTATTAATGTATGGGAGAGGCTACAGAAACACCCACAGAATTACTGATGACTGGGAGAAGATGTCTTTAAGGGAGAAATTTTGGGTCTCTGTCTGTCCATACAATCAAAAGGTGATTCAGGGGTAGCATGTAAGTGCTGTTTTAGGAGGAGAACTTGTTGTGTAAGGGTTTAGTTCAATAATGTAGCAATGTGTGTACACTGTGACACTGCACTCTATAAAAGTCAAAATCTTGGTTTGCTGATGGTACCGACCTGGGAGGAGCAGCTGATACTGAGAGCTGGGAACTGGCAGGAGCAGCTGATGGCCCTGAGGCTGCGCTGCCGTCCAGAGGGACCTGGACAGACTGGAGGACTGGGCGGTGAGAAACGTCATGAGGTTCAACGGGGGCAAGTGCAGGGTCCTGCACGTGGGGAGGAATAACCCCGGACACCAGGACAGATTAGGGGTGGACCTGCTGGAGAGCAGCCCCGCAGAGAGGGACCTGGGCATCGTGGTGGACGACAAGTTGACCATGAGGCAGCAGTGTGCCCTGGTGGCCAAGAAGGCCAACGGGATCCTGGGGTGCATTAAGAAGAGCGTCTCCAGCAGGTCGAGGGAGGTGATCGTGCCCCTCTACACAGCCCTGGGGAGACCACATCTGGAGACTGTGTCCAGTTCTGGGCTGSCCAGGACAAGAGGGATGTGGAGCTGCTGGAGAGAGTCCAGCACAGGGCTACRAGGATGATCAGRGGCCTGGAACATCTGCCMTRTGAGCAAAGGCTGAGAGAGCTGGGCCTGTTCAGCCTGGAGAAGAGAAGGCTGAGGGGGGACCTGATCAGTGTCTATAGATACCTCAAGGGAGGCAGTGAGGAGGAGGGGGCGGCCTCTTTTCAGTGGTGGCCAGTGATAGGACTAGAGGGAACGGCCACAAGCTGAGGCACCAAAAGTTCCACAGGAACTTAGGAAAACACTTCTAGACAGTGAGGGTGCCAGAGCCCTGGCACAGGCTGCCCAGAGAGGTTGTGGAGTCTCCTTCTCTGGAGATGTTTCAAACTCGCTTGGCCGCAGCCCTGTGCCCCGTGCTCTGGGTGACCCTGCGTGTGCAGGGGGTTGCACTAGATGACCTCTGAGGTCCCTTGCAACCTTAAGGATTCTATGATTCAAAACTGACAGCACATTTTTGTTACTTTTTTAGCTGTAAAATGTCTTCACGTTACCATCACCATTCACATTACTATCAGTGGCTTGCATTGACTGTCTCCTTGCCTGAGTAACTGGATGAAGCACCCCTGCTCCCATACATGTTCTTCAGTACTCAGCTCAAAGAGCTTTAAAAGTCAAACCACACAAGCTGGCAAGTGCATATTTTTGGTCATTTTTTACCTTCTTTTTAATGACTTACCACAAAAAATGCAAGTTGAAATATATTTTTTCTCCAAATATATATATTTATATAATATATAATCTTAGTTAACTCAAGTATATACATTGTATAATAAATAATGCTTATAAAAAGAGAAATTTTCTGAATATAAAATAAAAAAAATCAACCTCTACAACTTTATACAAAACTTTGGATACAGCAGATTGATGGAAAAAGATCTTCCATTCAGTGCTAGAATACCTGGCTACAGTAAAATAATTACAAGGCAATAAATGTTCTATTTAATATTAAATACCTTTTCTTGATTAAAAAACAAAACAAAACAGAAACAGGGATTTTGTTTAAAGTCAGGTACTTGGGAGTCTTTGCAGACACAGGATTTAATATATACTTTTAAATAGAATGCATATCAGAAGACAGCTTATTTTGGAGACACAGAGTTTTCCTTAGCTCTCCTGTGATCTTTCCTTTCGGAAAGCCGACGCTTCCAAGGCCGCTCGAATCCGGTAGCTCTTCATCGTGCTCTGCAGAGGAGGAACTGAGAATTTAGGTCTGAATTTTGCCACTCGCAGCCTTGAGTGGCCGGGCTAGGTTCAGGGCTCCATATGCAGGGAGTTTTATTATGACTTTTTTTTTTTTTTTTTTTTAAATTTCAGGAGACAACAAACCATGAAAATGAGAGCTCAAGCAGGAGAGGGGGAATGTGGCCAAGGAAGACCAGGGATCAGCACGAGGGACAATCACGGCTTCCTCTTCACTGAGATATTTTATTGGACATGTGTGACCACACCTGTGGTCCCTGACTCTGTTGTTGTTCTAGAGCTTCTAGGCTTGAGCTGAAGCCCTCATAAATGAACCACTAGTACCTCAAGAAATAATCCTAGGGGAAAGAAAGGTGGAATTGTGATACCACTGAACACCCTTCTCATCTGCCCTGGCACCTCTTGCTGGACAAGGTGGCTTGAACAATTCTGACAGGAGAAATGCTAGTGAGAAGGCTCAGACAGAAGGCTTTTTGCCTGGTCTGCTACTGATACTAAAAGTGGGGGTAGCAACTAAGATGACATGGGTCCCTGTTACCAGAGAGATCCCAGGAGCTCATCTCGTGATGAAAGATCATATTGAGGGAAGCAGGGCAGAAAGGTGCATCAACAGAGTGGATCTGCCCGGTTCTGATCTTGGACTGTCTGGAAAGATGGCAGCAAAACCTTAAAGATCTCCTTTCAGCAGTTACACACGAGGGAGGCTGGTGGGGGTGGTGATACAGCTCACACAAGAGGTCACAGCCTCCTCGTGAGCCTCCCCCCGCTCTTAGCTGAGGCCTGTGCCAAAAGCCAGAGGATCAGCTCTGGCCTCCTGCCATCCTCCTCGGTGGGATTAGAGGTCATCTCAGAGGGTAAGAAGCAGAGATGGCCAAAGGAATGGGGAAAGGAGAGACTGGCTGTCAGGCTCCCTTTGCAAGCTCCCTGAAACCCAGTTATTTCTCTGAAATCATCTCCTTGGAGTTGGAAGGAAAGAGCCTGGCTGGCATGGGGAGCTGGCTCCTTTGCTTCCTTCTCATACTCCCTCTGCTCAAACTGGGCCAGTCCCTGCAAGCAGGCAGGGGAACCTCTATTTGTTCTGCTTTCACTGTGTTAAATTCATGGCCACTTGAAACCCTGTATTAGCATCTACATGGCGCAGATCTCCAGAGGACCGAGCTGGAAGCCCTGGGCATGCCTTGTTACTGGCACACTGGCTGGTCACTGGTGCCTCCCTTGGGCCCATGATGTCCCTCCATCAGGCCAAATAAAGTGAGAAAAGTCAGTAGAGAAGTGATACGACATCTAAGTGTCCGTAGTGTCTCAGACCACCTTGCTTGGCCGAGGCTTGGTGATAGTGTGAGTCTTCTCCGCAGCTCTGGGGCTGGCAGTAACGAGGGTGTTTGCCCTGGCCAAACTGGCCAAAGGCTTTGGGATTATTTATGTCATCCTCTGAAAGGGTGAGGCCCCTGTGTGGATGCTGATCACAGGGCCGATGAACCCCTGGCCTGTCTCTAGAGCGGCCTCCCCTTATTTGGAGACCTGCCTATGGTTACTTGCAGGTATGGACGTCATAGACACGTATGCACTCCTGGCAGCTCACGTAGCAGCACCAGTGGAAGATGCAGTGACACTTCTCCTTCCGCTTCTCAGTCCTGGTGTTGTGGCCACGACCACAGCACAGCAGGTCGCAGCCATCGATCCCATGGGAGGTGACGTTGCATGTCCTGTCCCTGGTCCCAAAGGAGCCCGTCTCTGGGTTGGGCTCGCAGAAGTTGGGGGAGTTCTCATAGTAGACCAGATCCCGCTCTGTTGGTGGCTTGAAAAGAGCGTACTTGGCCCTAAGAGTTTCGACCCATCCCCGAGATTCCCGATGCTTTTCCACAACCATCTCGGAGGCGCTGTCGTATTTATCCTTCAGGTAGTCCCCGATTGCCCGGAAGTCTGGCTGGGCCCACCAGCACGTCTTGACCTCGCAGCTTCCCGAAAGGCCATGGCACTTGCACTTGAGGTGCATGTGATCCAGAATGGTCTGTCCGGAGGAGGAAAAGCAGGCAGTCAGCAATGGATTACCACCCCTATCACTTGGCTTATCTACCCTTTGCTCCTGGGATATTGATGTCTCATCTGAGCTTGGTCTGGAGTGTGTAGACTAGCTCACACACCAGAGCTATGGCACATGATAGGAACAAGCCTAGCCAGATATGAGGCTCTAGAGAAACATCAGGATGAGAACAAGCCTCAGGAGTGTTAGCTCTGCTCAAACTTGACCAATGGGCTCTCTCCATGCCCTTTGGCACACCACTTAGGCCAAAATTCTCTTGCTGTTGCCTTTTCTCCCTCCAGGATGCATTGCCTGAACTGAGACAGCTCTGCGATTGCTTTCCAAACACATCAAGCACTTAGAAATGTCAACTAGAGGGCAGGTGACCACCATGGAAGTTAGACCTGAACCCTGCTGCTGCAAGCACAGTAAATAATGTTGAGCATTGTTATTGCAGAGCATGTAGCATGCTTTTCTCAAGACCCTTCTATTGCAAGTGTTTATGGAAAGGTGATACCTACCTGGGGGTTTGGGGTTGGTTTAAGTACTATTTAAAAGCAACATGTCTAAAGTGCATTCAGTTCACAAGTCGCCTTGTCCTGTCTCATGATTCAGTAAGATATAGATTCAGTAAGAATCATGAGATAGGACAAGGCCATAACGTGCGACCAGGAATGCAGTGAATAGCCCGGTGTGTTTGAGTGTCTCGAGCCCTGGTCCTGGAGCACGTTCTGGCATCCTGTGTATGATGCCGGCTGCTCAGCAGAGCCCCTGGAGGCTGCCTGGGCAGTGGGGAGCTCCCTGGTCCTGCCCATGCTCCATCCTACGTCTCTGTGTGATGCCACTTAAACACCCAGGGAGAGTTTAGGAAGGAATTGCCTGGGAGGAAATCCTGGATCACCATTGACGTGGCACCTTAGAAGTTAGCGCTGGGTTTCTATGGGCATCTTGGAAGTTAGTTGCATTTCTATGAGCTGAGAAAACCCGTGCTGTCTCGGGAGATGTCTCCCCTGGAAACAAGCTGTGCTTTAGCCATCCTTCTGCTTCTCTTCCCCTGCATCTATTTGGAGAGAGATGGCGAGGAAACTTGCTGGTAACCTGGGAATAACCCCGGAAAGCTCCCGACTGGGCTTTATCCCGGTCCAGTTACACCAGCACGAGGCTGTTGCTGTAGCAGGAGCTAGAATGGGCCGTCCACCCCGCGCAGTGACCAGAGCTGCTCGGCTGAGCACTCACCGTCCTGCCGGCCTCGTTATTGTGCCGGTTCATGGCAGAACGGGCGTCTGGCCGGTTCTCTCGCGCATCCGCGAACTCCCGCGACACCAGCACTCCGAAGTCAGCATCCTCGCTGCATCCTCCCCATTTCCATCCGTCTCCCGGAGGCCCTTTGTGGTGGGAATCGCAGCCGCAGATGGTGGAGGTGCCCTCGGCACAGGAGCGGGTTACAGCAAAGGCCACCCCTGCCGATGCAATGGCGTGGACAAAGGCGGACTCTCGTGTGGCTGCAGAAAAAGAGCCCAGGGGATTATTTCCTAAGGTAACACACTTAGTTTTCCTTACCAACCTCCTTCAATGTCATCTAAATTTATTTAAATAAGAACTATCTGATCCTTTTTCAGTGAACGCTTTCTGAGTCAGGTGGCGAGGGCTGGCATCGCCCTTCGAAGCACGCAAGCAGGAGCAGTGAGTAGGAGAGCAGCATGACTGCAGCTCCTCATACCACGAATGTAGTATTTGGCACAGATTTTGATCTCATGCTGGTGTTCATGCTTAAACAAAAAGACAGTGTAAACTTGAGGGGAGCGCGGCTGAGAGCTCAGGATGGGATGTTGAGGCGCCTCTGATTGAACTTCATGTGAGAATCTCTCTGCAGGCTGAAAGGCCCCTCCAGGTTGACAGCAGAGCCTTTGGACTCTCCACCTTCATCTCCTTGCTCTTTCATCTCTGCATCTAATTCACCCACCTGGCTCCACTGTGGGCCAAAACCACCCTACGGTGTGAGGATGACCTTGCAGTTGCTGATTAATCATGGAGGAGTCCTACAGGAAATCAAAGCCTATGAGACTCGAGTCTGTCCTGCTCTGGGTGCAGAATTGCAATGGATGAATTTTAGCAGTCCCAGGAGAATAAACCTGAAAAAAACCCTGTAATCTTTGAATTACAAGGGCTCAAGAAAGGGTTAAATTCCCAGCAGGAATCCTCCTCTTCCACCCTTCCACTTTCCCTGGTTAAAGTGTGAGGTCCTAACAGAGGAATGACCTGACTTTTAGACAACAGTAGCCAAAGGACATACAGGTCTCAGAAGCCAGCAAAGAAAGTTGTTTTCATTGACAGGCTGATACTGCAAGCTGGCTCTAAACAGGAAGCTCTTATTCAGAGTGGCTTGTTAGGTGTAGAACCGACCAAAGTCCAGCACTGCAGTGCACCCTTGGGCCTCAAGAGTAGGAGACACCAGGTTGGGCAGCACGAGCAGCAGTTCTGAATAGTATATCCAAAGCAGTGACTGGGATGAAGCCATCTGGACAGACTTTCTTCACCTTCTCCTATCAGACAGAACTTATGAATTGTTATGAAATTGTTATGAAATGCTAACTAACAATGCCATAAGGGAAAACAGATCCATTGAAGTCCTTTTTGGCAGTTCCTGATCCGGACTACAGATCCTCTATGTAAGGGAACATTTTTGGAAACCTGAAATGGAGAATCTTTCACCAATTAGATGGTTCTTGGTCACTCAGGACTTGAACAAGGAGAAGTAAATATGAACTTTACTTCCCTATCCGCTTGTCCCCTTGTGCAACATGAGTGAAGGTGAAAGTGAATAGCAGTCTAAAAAACAAACGTGGAGAACTGGGAGAGAATAAGAATAGCTGCAGACCTAAACATCGGTGTGTGCACAGCGGGGTGGCCTGGTCCAATTAATACAGTGAGATATTCAGCCTGGAGAAGAGAAGGCTGAGGGAGATCTGATCAGTGTCTATAGATACCTCACGGGAGGCAGTGAGGAGGAGGGGGCGGCCTCTTTGCAGTGGTGGCCAGCGACAGGACTAGAGGAAATGGCCACGAACTGAAGGGCCAGAAGTTCCACAACAACTTAAGGAAAAGTTTCTTAACAGTGAGAGTGACAGAGCCCTGGCACAGGCTGCCCAGAGGGGCTGTGGAGTCTCCTTCTCTGGAGATCTTCCAAACCCACCTGGATGCAGCCTGTGCCCCATGCTCTGGGTGACCCTGTGTGTGCAGGGGAGTTGGATCTCTAGAGGTCCCTTCCAACCTTAAGGATTCTATGATTCTATGGAATTCCTGCCATTATGTCTCTGAGTTTAATATCATGTCCTCGGAAGTTTTACACTCAGGTTATCTGTAGATGAACAATACGCTGTCACTGCTGTCAAATGGAAAAGACCCTTCCTGACTATGTGTGTGGGTATGCTAACTCTTCAAGACACTGTTGTAGAGATTGGGAAATGGCCTAGAGAAGCCACAGCTCTGAACTGAGCTAGTCTTTGCCCCAGTGCTTTCACCAATGGCTCTTCCAGCTCTTCAAAACTCCTTCCAATTTTCAGCCCATGTTAAAGCTCTGTTCCTTCTGAGGACTTCCTGGGGCTGACGGAAAGCAAGTCCTACACTGTCTCAGAATGGGTTAGAAATTTCTCCATTTTTAGGACATTGACCTTTAGGATCTTAACATCTTCTTCTGCTTAGCACAGTGACCTGAACTTGCTTTTGTCTCTGGACATGGAGTCTGTGTTCTCCAAGTAATGACCTGACTGTTCAGCTACATACGTCTGTCCAGGGTATTTTTAAAGCTTTCTTGGAATTTTTTAGAGCAGACAGTCGATTGGAAATTGATGAGAATTTGACCATGGATTTCAGTACAATTACGATGATTTTGAGCTTTCTGAGGCATTGCCGAAATAATATCTCAGTCTTAATTTCCTAGTCAGGAACATCTTTCAGCCATATTGGTTGAAAGCTCCTCTGTCCAAACCATCTTCCTGGTGTGAGATCTATAAGCCCAATGACCCTAAATCAGGGCTGCTCAATGCTGCCTTTGCAAGTGGGATTGCTCAGCATTTCCTACTTTCTTTTAATCCAAACTCCTGCCTCCTTACTCCCCTGCCTCAAATATTCCCCGGAGATCCAGCCTCTACCTAGAAATCCAGGATTGTTTCACTTAGTTACCTTCCGTCAACCATTTCAAAGGGGTCTGCTGGGGGCTATAGGCCACAGGTTGAAAAATCACTGCTCTACCCGAGTTTTTCAGTCTGACAAAGGCTATTTGGGTGGCCTGTGATATAAAGCAGATCAGATTAGATGAGCTCAGGAGCCCCTCTGGCCTCAAACCAGGACAGGTTGGAGGTGGAGGGGGCTGGACAGCCCCTTGCTGCTGCCTTGGCTTTCCATCCTGAGGGGGATGGAAAAACATCCTTAGGGGGAAAGTAGTGGGATGCACAGAGTTAAGAGCCACTCCATGCTTGAAAATGACACTTAAGAGAGTCCAGTGTCCTCTGATGGGAGCCCATGGGGCTGCTCCAAAGGTGGCCACATCCATGCTGGATCTCCGGCCTTACTTGGTTCCTGAGGGCCGTTGCTGGAGGGCCGTTGCTGGAGCTAGAGCCACACGTGCCAGGTCGAGAGAGGCCAGACATGGGTCCTGTGGAGCGCACAGCACCAGCGGGGCCAGCGCGCGTCAGGGGCTGGAGCCGCGAGCGCCCGTTGGTCTGCCTCGAAATTCTCCCCTGATTCCGGGCAAGGAGTGGGGAGAATTTCCCAGAGCTGAAAGGCGGGAGCGGAGTTCCCAGAACCAAGGAGGGGCCGGCGAGGGCGGATTAGAGCGCTCTTGACAGTGCACCGCCGCGACCGTCTCCCAGCCGGGCCCGTTACCTGCTGGGACCCTCAATTTGCCATTGTTCCCGCCGTGTCACACTCTATTACCGGGATAATGCGGAATGTTTCCGCCGGCCAGCGTACCCACGGCACAGAGCGCTGGCATTCCCCAGGAGCACCGCGTAGCAACGGCGCAATGTTCCCCTGTCCTGCCGTCACCCTCCGAGGCCGCCAGCCTGGCTGGGAAATCCCTATTGATGGCTGTCCCCAGCCCCCCGCCACCGGCGCAGAATGGCTAAAGGGCGTGTGAATGGTGCAGCGATTTGAAACGACTGCGCTGCCGGGCCCGTATCACTCGCCTTGCCTCACAGTAGGGGAGGAAGCTTAGCTCTTTCTCATCGCTATAAGCTTATTTTTCTCTCCCCCTCTTCCCCCCTCCCTGCCTTTAAGCTGCTGAGTTTATATCAAGACGGCCCCTGATCCCACGCACCCCTGTTTAGATGCAAATGACTGCGGGTGTCATGGCTGAGAAAAGCCATGGGTTATCGTGGTGCGCTCCTGCCTTTTCACAGCTCGTGTCAAGGGCTTAGCCAAGCACACAAGGAACCCAGAGGCGGCCCAGGCCCAGCTGCCTCCTCTGCACCTGGCCCTGCTGCTGTCACACTCGGGGCAGCCGAGCGGCAGCGAGAGGCTGGAGCCCGTCCCGGCTTGAGGAGGACCTGGAGAACCTGGTGGCCTCTGCCTGGAGAAGCAGACACAGCGAAGGGCGGCTGCTGTGCGTGCAGGGAGGATGAGGAGCAGTTCCCAGGTTCATCAACATGCAGGGGAATGTCTGAGCACGGTGAGGCTCCTGCCAAAAGCAGCCCTGCAGATCCAGTCCTGCCTGCTCCTCAGGGACCTGTTCTCCACCCCAGGTGTCAGCCGCCTTTCTCAGTGTCTCTGGTGTATCCCTGCTCCTTGCGCTCATGAGTGGTACTTTTGGGGTCCTGTAGTTGGAAGGCAATCCCATATTTCATCATAAACACAAGGAATGACAATTGCTGTGACCGTCCCAGAGCAGCTTTGAGTCATGTGGTTGTTGGGCTCAACATTGACTTTGGTGTAAGACATGGCTGGAAGAAACGTCACCTTCTTATAAACCCTGACCTTGTTTTATGAAGTAAAGGGAGACAGAAGAGAGAGGAAAGCAGGTTTTTCCTCCCTCCTTGTCCTAATGCTGCCCCAGACTGCACACCTGCAGTATAAATCATGTTGGAGAATCTGCTTGTAAAAACATGATCTTATTCCAGATTGCTTTTTTTTTTTTCTTGGTTGTCGCCCAGATTAGAGAAAGAATGAAAAAAATAGACATGCAAAAATAAAGCTGGAAGATAAACAGTGACCCTAGGAAATTAAAGGCTCACCAGCTATGCTTGTTATGGATTTTACGGTAGAAAAACCCTGTGAATTTGAATTTTGGGAAGGGCAGACGGGAGGGAATCAGGACTTTCCAGGCAGAGCCCTCCGCAAAGGTCGGCGTTCAGCAGCTCATAAATAGGAACACTTCAGCCCCCGGGGGTTTCGCTTGTCCCATAACCCTGGCAAAACCGAAGACGAGGAAGAAGAGATGAGGTTCGTATGTACAGTGAGAGTGGAACAAGAAATGAGCTCTCTGTGGGATGGAGATGGGATGGGAGGTTATGGACACGAGGGTCAGGAATCTCCTAAGTGACAGCAGGGAGCAATTCCCTGTGATCCAACATGGACAGCAGCGTTCCAAGCTGGAGCAACACGCCCAGAGAGAGGCGAAGCTAAGAGCAACCAAGACACATCTTGAACACCTGAACAGTGTGAAGGGTCTGCACAGTCAGCCTCCGCTCTCTGCTCATTTTCACACTCTGCCTTGCTTTTTCAATTAAATTCTGCTTAACTGACTGCACCTGTGATTAATACTTTTATAGCACCTTTAATATTAAATCATCCTCAATTTCTTTGTAAGATTAATAGAAATGATTTCAGTGCTACTGTGGGGAAAAAGGTATCTTCAAACTTTTTTTTTTCTGAAAACAACTTGAATCAAACTAAGGGAGTAGTTAAATCAGAGTAACCTAAATGCTACCCTTTGATACTTAGAGCTGCTTTTTTTTTTTATATATTTAGATATCTACCATAGCTTAAATTCTAACTATATTTGGCTCAGTATGTGAAGTCTATTCACCTTGTGCATGGTACAAACCGCAATAGTGATTGTGATCTTTAGTTTTGAGTTCTACTACTAATTAGTTATTAGCTGGTTGGGTTATGTCCTCTTGTGAGCCCTGGCCAGGACTGCGGTTGCCTGGAAGCCAACAAGAAGAGAACACAGCAGAAATTGCCACAAGAACTTGCAGATGCTCAGGGCCCAGACAGGTGTAAACCATGCAGTCGGAGATCTCATGGACATGGGTTCCAGCTCTTAGGAGCAAAACTCTCGATTTTTGTTATTGCTGCAGTTAAGGGGCGATGCACTCCAGACTGGAAGAAGAAGGTGCTATGAAAGCGACAGAAGTGTCCAGCAACCCTCTCCACAGCTACCTCCAAGACCTCTTGGAGGAAAAAGCACTGTTGTTCTCCAGAGACATCACGTGATACAAAAACATGATCTATCCTGGTAGCATAGTAACATTTTTATTACCAACATTAGCTCTTTCATCAGCTGAGAAAAGACTTGGCGGGAAAGGGTATGTTTTTCTTTGCAACTCCGGATGTTGTAAATCTTAGGAATAGCTACGTATTTCCTATGGTTACTCATTGCTACAGGGATGAGTCCAGTTCCTTTCTGGCTTAATAATTTTCAAGACACTGCAGAAAGACATGAACAACATTTGAAATTGTAAATAGTGTTCACAATCAAATGGTTGGATTTTGAAGAAGTATCATCATTTGCGGATGATACTGTGTATTTTACGTGTTCTACACACACATTCAGTAGTTAGACATGAGAATGAATAGTTTTTTCAAGCTAATTAGCTGGCAATGCAATCCATTAGACTATTGATACGTCATTGTGAAGGAAGGAGTGTAACAGAAGTGCTCAATAATTTTCCTCCATATGTCAGAAGAGTTTCAGAGCTATGGATGATATTTTAATTTGTCAGCCTAGAGTGCAAGGAAATGTTCAGGCATGTCTGCATGTGAGATTTTGCTCTACTCCCTGCAGCTGAAATAACCTTAAAATATTCTTCATAAATTCAAAGTTCAGTTTGCTCATTAAGAGAGAATGGGTCTAATCCAATTTTTAAGTCCTTTAATGCTGACAGAAATGGTGTTGAGAGATTTTGAGTGTCTGAATGCTATAACAGTTCTTCCATAATGCACTTAAAAGTTTTTTATGGCTGCTTTTGTAAGAATTAAAACTTTCTCATCATGTAAGTGCTGAAGTTTATGACACGTGTTTATTAGGCAGCAAGTTGCAATATGAGAAGATCTGATGACAAACTACTGGGTTGTAAACACAAGAGGTGTCCAGAAACACCCCCTGACAAGGCAGAACAAACTGAATCTCAGCATACCTGTGTGACTTTACAGTCCTGATTTCAGCAATGAATTTGCCTTTAACCCAATTAAGCAATATTTACCAAAAGGTACTATTGATGTCTCTGGAAACTACCACTCTTGGAAGGCTGAAACTTGAACAAAAAATATCATGAACTGTTTGTATGAACAGTGTTGTAGTTTTGCAAGAAAGACTCATCAGGAAATATGCACAGTCCAGGACACTCTTAGGAAACCATTCTAATTTCTTAAAAGGTCATACCAGTATATTCCCTCTTCCAAAGTAGCAACAAGGGCAAGAATAATTTATTTGAAAAGAAAGACTTTATGGGACTGCAGAGACTGGGAGTATTGACACCAGTGTTGCTAAGCTTCAGAAATGGTACTGGTTGTATTTATGAGACTGTGAAACCAAAGTATTGTCTGGGGATGTCACTTGTGCTGAGTATGGAGTCAGTGAAAGGCGATGAAGACCCTGGCTTCCATCAGTTCCCCTCCTTCATTTGAGCAGCTGCCTACAGCAAAGCGTTTCTGGTTTGATCCTAACAGAGACTCATGGTGCTGGCACAGTCACATGAATGTGCAACACGTCCCCTTTTTCCTGGGAACAGGAAAATTGGGAGGAGTAAGAGATCCTCAGACCTATGGCTGTGGCATGGACAATATCTGTGTTCAGTGCCAGACTGTGCATGGGAGAAACTCTGCAGGCAACACGGTCTGCAGGCTTTTGGGGATGGTAGACCATGCCCTGTACGAGCTGTTGCTATCAGCACTTCTTTCTGAGCCAGCAGAGCTCAAGACATCAAATCTCCAGGGAAGATTCCTTCAACTGGAGCAAAGCTCCATCGGTGAGTGATCCTTGGGTGGTTCCACACATCAGTGAGAGTCATGGGATAAGATGGAAGGGCATGGAGGAAGTTTTTATCTGCCATATGATTCGGTTTCATGTGAATACCATTTCATTTGAGGTCTTGACTTACTAACTGATCTTATGTGAGATGTGCGGTAGGTTATCTGTCACTTAGTTCCTCCATCACCCTCTCTGCAACCAGTATTCAGCTGCCAGCTGATGTTACCAGTACCAAGATGCCTCGGGGCCCACTAACTCAGTTTTCTCAGTGTAATGTCCAAAGTGGGCATTGTTGGAATTCCCAGACTTTTCTCACCTCATCAGTGTGCTTCTTGTGGGCCTGATCCTTGCTAGTGGATCTAGAAAAGTGGCCTTTCATGAGGATGTGGTGGAGAGGAGGGATGCTTGAGCAGGGAGTTTGGACTAGATGATCTCTAGAGATCCCTTCCAGCCTCAATCATTCTGTGATTCCGTGATTCTGAGAGGGGCAGGCCTGTGTGTTTGGGGAGTGTTTCCTAGCTTCTGTTTGGAATACATCTGGGAAAATGCTGCGTTGAAATCCAGACTGAGCCAAGTCAGGACCACAGACTTCAATGACAGGTTTTCAGTGCCAGGGGAAAACCCTGATCATGGGGTTATAGGGGTAGACAGTGCTGCAAGCCCTACCTGACCCTAAGGAAGGGCTTAGAAGACTCCTCATAAGAGGTGGAGTCTCCTCTGCCATGGACCTGGGTATCATGCAGCTTCTGGGGCAGCTCTTGGCCCTAACCATGTCTTTTCTCCTGGATCTGCTTGAGCCTCTGGGAAGGGAATAGGCTCTTGTCATGTTACTCCTCTTGACAGCACATATTGGGGTGGGGTATTTGGGGTGACAGCCAGAAGCCAAGTGGGGACATGCTCGCCCTGCCAACGCTGTCCCCCCGCCGTCCGACTGCGTCGCTGTTTACCTTTGTCCAGGACTGGCCCAAAGATGGCCAGGCTGTCATCAATGGTGGTGCAGTTCCAGCGGCGGCCCCGGAACTGGTGCTGGCACTCCTGGATGCCCAGCTTCACCCCCTCAGCCACACTGGGCATGATTTCAATGTAGTTCCGGCAGAAGCGGAGCTGCTTGGGGACAAGGCCAGGGATGGAGCCGCAAAGGATGGGCTGGGACCCCAGGGAGCTGTACTGCTGGCCTAATGCAAGGGACCTGCAAAGGAGAAAAAACAGCGCGAGGGATGGTTGGGAAAGCAGTTGGCACCATCCTTCCTGCCCCAGCAAAATTCCCCAGGGGGAATTTCATGAGTCAAGCATTTAAGTTCAATGAGAGTACAGAAAGGGAGGGATTTGATAAGAAATTAGGAGACTTTCTATTAAATAGCATGGAAGTGAAAAGGGCTTTTACACCCAGAGATACCATGGCCTGCAGCAATGCATGTGTTAACTTCTCCTCTGTGGGCACAGAGGAATTCAGCTACGTGAATGGAGACACCTAGAGCTACTTTTGGTACTGTGGATTGTCCAAGACATTCCCATGGAGTTGGTGGGTCTGACAAACGATCTACAATGAACATTATCCTTTGGAAGATGGGAGTGTCTCATGGAGTGCCTCAGGGGTCAGCAAACATCAATGTGAGGCGTCCTGAATTGCAGCTGGAGCAGGGCATGTCCTGCCCCACGCCAAGTTCATCAGTAGTGAGATTGTCAGTCACTAGTTGGACCATTCAGTGGTTGGGCTAGGATCAGGTTTGTCACTGCCACACAGCCAAGGCTGCCTTGACACCTGTGAGGATTGTACCCATCAGAAGCCACCTCAGGATCCAGCTGATGGCAAGTGATCTCTAGACACAGCCATGAGCCAGACAGGCAGCTGCAGAGAACTTCCAGATAACTCCACAGTTGGGCCCAGATGGGCCGTGGCACAAATTCAAACATTTCTTTGTACCCAGCTCCAATGCTGAAGCATCTCACTAGAGCAGGACTGCCCTAGAGGTGTCTCAGCCAGATGTTGCACAAACAGAGAATGAGGGTCTCTGCCCCAACCAGCTGAGAGTCTCCTCTGGGCTTTTGACTTCCCCACCCTGTCTTCCTCCTCCTTGAAGGATGAATACACCAGCTAGAAAGTGCAGGTTCTCCATCTCATTCCCCATCTCCAAACTTCCTGTAGGCTCAGAATTGTAGAGAAGCTTGTTTGCTGCAGATAGAATTTGACACTCAAAACAGCCCTGGGAAATCTGGTGTCCGGAGTTGCAGGCACGATGTTAAGCTGAAAGTTCAATTAATTGCATCTTAAAGGCTGTAGGTTGTACAGGGAATGCCAGGTGACCAGCTCAGCCAGCTCAGGGGAGATGCCTCCACCACCAACCACAAAACATGCTTTCTCCTGCCTTGGTTTGCACAGCAGTGGAAGTGAAGGTCACATTTAATGCCTGCAGCTTCTTACAGTAGCTCTGCCTGCAGCTTCTTGCAGTAATGGTCACACAGGGTTGGCCTGGTGTGCTTCCCGTAAGCACCCCATCATGCCACTCCTGCAGGCTTATGTGGTAGCTCTCTGGTGTAAAACCTGTCCCAAGGCTTAGCTTGGATGAGCAGTTCAGTCCCTCAGGGAAATCCCAGAAAAGAGTAATGACTGTAAAGGAGTAAGACCTGCAGCTCCTTACAATGGCCTAGGGACCTCCTGAAGGGAATGGACCGCCTGCCCATTCCACCAAAGACTTTGTCACATCCCTTTAAGCTCCTCTGAGTTAAGTCTTCACAAACTTCCCTGCACGGAAGGCCAACCTGGAGGTGTGAAGCCAGTGTTGGTCTGTCTGCTTTGAGATGGGATTTGGGATCTGTTGCATGGGAGAGGGAAGGACATGCTGCATGTCGCCTTGCAAGGACAGAGACTGCTCTTGGTTGCATACGGTCACTCACGCAGCTCATGAGGTTGCTTACGCACATATATGGGCTGGTAAACTTGCTTCTGTTTTTTTTTTCACTTTCTGGCAGAACTGGCTTGGAATGGGTCATTTGTTTTTGATCAGCTTTCCCAGCTATTTCATTTCTTCTTCTTTTGGAAGCTCTCCATGATTCCTGAGTCTGTTCTTTACTTTTCCCATTGATTGTTATTGAAAGCACCTTCTATTCAGCTCAGTCTGCTGATCCTTCACAGAGAGATATCAAAACCTTCTAATTCCTCTTGATCCATCATCCCATTATATACACAAGTTCTGGAAAAGCACATGTGTCAGGGCACTGTGGCTAAAGTACTGCAGCTCTGCTCTGACCTCCAGGGTCCCAGGGACCTATGATTCCCTATGTGGTGTCTGCTGTGAAGACACCAATCTGTGAAGATTAATCAAAACCTATTTGAAATCCAGATCCAAGATCCGAAGGGCATGTCCTGGCTCTGCGTGGCTCTAATGCAGAATGAGAAAAACTCAAGGAGGAAAGTAAGTGCATTCATCAAGGAAGAAGTATAACAAGAGTAATTTTGGATAGATAAGAGGAATGGACAATTCTGAAAATGGAAAACACAGCTGCACAATGTCCAGACCCCAAACTTCTTTTCAATGCCAGGCAACCCGCCTTGCTTGTCCTGTCAGCTTCCCTTCTTCTGGCCCATGTTTCACAACCCTGATCCCCAGCTTTCCTTGCAGGATCTGACAGATGTTTTTGCAGGATCTGACAGATGTTTTCCCAGCACCAACTCACAACCGTGCTCTAGGACAAGAGCCATAAAAGCCACTTAGCTCTATCTGGACAGGACAGTCCCTTTCACCTCTATGTGTTTAAGTGTGAGCAGACATCTGTGCACACAAAGGTAGGGTTTTGTGTGTATGTGTGCAAATGTAGTGCATGACACAAGTGCACATGCCAGTTGTGTGGGAAATCCCTTTTCTCTTTTTCTGCTTAATCCCCTAAATCTCTCAAGAGTTCCAACATGGTCTGTCAGGCCAGTAACTCCTTTTGTTCCCATCCAGTAGCACTAGTCATAGCAGAGCTGGGAATCCTGCAGCCTCCGGCTGATCTTCCACAGATCACGTTGGTCTGGAATGAGCTTTCAAAGCCCTGGGAGGAAATTGCCTGGTGCCGATCATCCATCTCCAGTTTCAATTAGTTGCAGCCTTTCTGGGGCTAGCTGAGGGAGAAGCTGAACCTGTGAATCTATAGGCAAATGATTGATCTCCACATGGCTGCTCTTACTAGGGTAGCTGACCTGGAGCAAATGCAGGGATTTCAAGATGTGCTCCACCAACTGGGTCCTTGTACTGCCTCAGTGTGGAAGAATTGTGCCCACCTTCCCTCTCAAATGCATTCCTCCTGGAGAGATGGCTGCAAACTTGTCTTTTTCTATTTGGGCCATCAATAGCAAGGACACTCAGTGTCAAGAGAAGTTGGAGCAAATACTATTTGAAATCAGCAGGATTTGGCCTGGTCAGAACTATGCCAAAATGCATAAAAAGTTTTATGATGAATACCAAAAAAGATTTGATGAAGGCAAGAGCTTTTGGGATATGAACCCTTTTGTTTTTTCTCTGCAAGAGACTGGAGGTGGCAGTGCTTGGAGTACTTTGGACAAGGCGGCACAGTGCACCACAGAACAATCTAGGGTAGAATCCCTAGATCCCTACAAACTATCTACTCTGGTCTCCCAACTTTCCTCTTTCTTCTGCAATCCCATAAAACTGTTGCCATATTTAATGAGTTCTGGCAGCCTGGCTGTTTTTCCTTTCTTTGTACTGGAACATATTGACATTTGCACGAAGAATGCATTACAACCTCTGGCAAGCTCTAAAACTGTGCAGCATCTCTGCTTGTTGTGAGTGTCTGAGGCCATTGATGCATCCTTTAACTTGAGATGCAGGGGGAAAACTTCCTGGACGTGCCGATGAAGGAGTGAGCTCTTGCCTCAAACTCAGCAGCTGAAAGTGGACAAATCAGCAGAGCAATTTTTGCTTCTCTTCCTGGTCCTCACCAGTCCTGTGGCCAGCTGGGTAGGAAAGTTTGGGTTGTAGAAGTGCATGTCTCCAAGGATATGTCTTTTCCCATGGAGCTTTAAACATTCTTCACATTGCAACTTTTCTTTGCCTCCTTCAAGAAATCTCCAATGTAAAGGGCAAATGTAGGCATGCTGCCTATGGATCCTGTAGCTATTCCCCTTGACTAACTCAAAAAGTGCTTATATTTTCATCTTGGGAACCTCCTAGCCCAAATGTGTTGGGGCACAGGACATAAAACCCTTGCAGAAATACATGACTATGAGCATAGAACAAATGATGCTGGTGGCGGTGATGAGGTTAGACTCTGGTGACGAAGGGCGTCACAGCAGTCACCATGCCTATGTGACACATAGGCCAGGAAGTGCCGTGTCCTCAGAGACACAGATTTCTGATTCCCTCTTGCCTGGAGCTGGAGCTGACGTGTGTAACGAGTTAGCTCAGGTCAGGGCTCTGCTGTGCGAGTGCTGGAGGCTGGGGCACAGCCTCCAGCCTCTTCCCTCCGTTTCACCATCAGTGAAACAACAAGTTCTTCTCTTAAATGCTTGGAGAGCCATATCTGGAAACACTCTGTAAGGACACCAAGGAATCTGCAGCAATGAGGCTATTTTAAACCACTGTCATTCCTCCCACGGCAACTCATATCCCTGCAGCAGAATGTTGCGGGGCAAAAGCCAGTTCTGCCTGCGTCTTCTAAGACAATGCCCCATATTGATCTGTGCACTATTTATAATGCATTGGGGAAACTACGAGTCGGTAGCACAAAAAGCAGGTCACCACTAAGATTTCATTTGCCACCAGCTATACCGGGGCAAACCTCTCCCTGCCTGAACAATTTCTCAGTGTTCTATTTTCAGATGTATTCAGCATTTGCTAGTTCTGGGCCACGTTCTGCTGAAAATAGACAACTGCACAGGCTGCTATGCCGCTGTTTCGCAGCGCTCGCTGGCCCAGGGTTGAAATGCACATGGGGAAGCAGTTGTCTTTATGCTGGCTTTTTCTCCGTATTTAGCATTGAGCATTTCCTACCTGCAAAATTTATCTCATCTTTAAAGGATAAAGCCTGCCAAGACTTTATCCCAACCTGACAGCCTTGCCATCACCATCATTTAGTTGCTTTTCAAGTAAGAAAAAGCTGTACAGAATCATTGCTGGCAGAGGTGCATTTCAAGCACAGGTCTTTCAGACAGAGAACTAAACACTGTTTTGCTTTGTTTGGTACTTTCAA